CTCACGGCCCCGTTCCCAAGGCAGGCGCTCTGAGGGGAGGCAGCGTCTTGGGGCTTTATTCCGAGACCAGACACATACACACATTTGCATACACCTGTGCTTACACCCACCGTCACACATGTGCTTTTGAGGGAGGCTGGACGCAGTTTCTTTACACAGTTGTGTTTTAAGCCTGTCTCCATGAGAATCCATGCTAAAGTTTTCCTTTTTGACTTCTGCGTAAAGCTTAGAGCGAAATGTAACGAGGACTGGTACAGTTCCCTTGCTGCGCCCGTGGGAATGGAATTAGAGGGAACTTCATTGCCGTGTTGGCCTGCACAGACATTCTGCTGAGGGGTGATGCGAGTCTTTCCCAACACAGTGGATCCTTTTTGCATTAAATTAAACGAAAATTTCCCAAAATCTTTCCATAATGGAGGTGTCAGCATGCTGCCATGTGAGACACAGAAGAGGGCACGTTTAATTTCCATGAGCTCTGGAACCTCTCTTAATGACTTCAGCAGGAGCTGTCTCCAGTTAGGAAACCGTAAGCCCACAATGTTGGTGTTTCATCTGCTTTTCTCTGCTTTTGGTGTGTCAGGCTCTTTAGTAGCACAGTGGAAATTACTGCACTGAAGTTCCTGGAGGAACACATTTCTCCTGCTGACCTGAGGACCCACAGGCTAATTCTACACTGGAGGGTGAAAAATGGGTTTAGGAGTAGGAGAAAGTATCCTAGTCCCTTACACTTTGTGTCCATGTTGCTGGGTTTTAGCCTAGCAGTCATTTAGACTTGAGGTGAGACTCATCTCACTCAGCATTAGCTGTATGCAGTGCCTGATTTTGCTAATTTTCTTCTAGATGTTTACTTTGAGGTGAAATGGTCTATGCCATGTACACATGTGTTTTTCTCAAGTAGGTATTTAGGGACTTGAGTGTGAGTAGGTCAGATATGAGTGTCAGCAATTTGGGCATGTTTATGTGGCCAACTCTACTGAAAGGCTACTTCTGTACTAATAATAAACATGCCTGGTACTGTTCTTGGCCTTGAGGCCAACTGGGATGGAGAGGCTTACTTCCATGCAATGTCCATCTCACCCTCCAAAACAGGGTGGCTCTGTGCAGACTTCTTATTGGGAGTGACTCCTGGTCCCTGCTAACTCTTGAACTGTGCACTAGAGTTATATGGGAGAGTGCTACTGGCACAGACCAAAGCCATTCCAGATACAGTGGTAATAATTTATGCTGTAGATAATCAAGTTCTCGTACTGATAAATGTTCCCCAGTGCTAGTTTAGCCATAGCTAAGGTAGGCACCCTATGTTTAAGGAGAATGAAGCCAGTGAACTGGGCTGAAGCATTTCCAGTCCCACCTTCTCCTGCAGACCACAGAAATGGAAGGGTGGGTCCATGCTCATGTGCCGTATGTCTTCTGCCTCTTCCTTAAAGCAAGCTTCAGACCTTAGGCTAAACTCAGTGATGGAATAAAGGTTTATAGCATGCGAGACTGACCGTGTTTGGTGTTGACCAGTCACTTACCTGACAGATAGACAAAGCTTTCCTTGTAGTCCCAGAGGAGGGAATCATGTTAGGAATGTATCCTGAATGATGCCTGACTCATACTCACGATAGCACATCATACTGTTGCTGAGGGAGACAGAAGTGACCAGACCAGAACTTCTATTATGGTACGGCCCAGTGCTTGATACGTGTGATCTGCATATGGATCAAAACTGTTAACGCTTCCCTCCCCACTGCCACTCTAAAGCAATAAGCATTGAGAAACATGATGGATCATCAGCACAGAAAATACATCAAACAGGGTTTGGAAACATTTCAATGTTGGAAGTTTCCAGCTGGGTAGGCAAGTTGCCTGTTACAAAAGGCATACAGCTTAAGAAACTGCTGTCCTGAAAGGCTGTTAAAATTAAATTGTGAATTGCCATCTCTATCACTGCAGCCATGGAGGAGAGTGGCTGCCTACGTATTTCATAGTGGAGTATCTAAGCCTAGCAACACAAGGCTTAGTCTGCTGAATAGTACGCAGTAATATGTGATTTAATAACATTAAACTAAGATGTTCTGATAATAATATTATTTGAAAGCTGTTTAGTTTATTTAATACCATTTATATTTTGTATGTCAGTTGAATTTGGGGAAAAAAATATTTTAGAAGAAACTGGGGAGACCGTGGTAGGAAATTGTGCAATGTACTTATCTGAGACCACATCACATGGTCTGCAAAGCACGGCTTTTGCTTTTATACACACAGTCTTGGCGACTCTCCCACTAGCAACAATAGTGCTCAGACTCATACTGATGTCACTGTTGAGTTATTTAATTTGACTGAACGAGATTAATGTGTTTATTTAAAACCTTGGTCAAAATGGAAAAGAAAATCTCGGGACAATACTTTTACGTGAACATGTATGTTTTCATATCTGATGATTGTAACGTTGCATTAACTTATCAGGAGCAGTTGTTTACACATGCTAACACCCGGGAGACCCCCTCAGATAAGAAGCATGAGCCATTTTCCCTCTCAGCCTGGAGCAGAGAAGTTTGCACTGCTACTGGTCCTGTGGGCTTTCATCCCAGGCTCTTCTCGCTTCCTGTTGCTGCTTTCAGGGCTGATCCACAGGGATCCTGGCATTGTTTCATTTTCTCACACGAGGATGGGGTTTGGTGCTGCCAAGAAATAACAGCAGTGTGGCGATGGATCCTCCACATGTTCTCACCAGGATAGTGAGGGACAGACACCTCCACTGCACGGGATGCCTAGATGGGGCTGGTGCTGGGCTCTGTAGGTTGAGCCTGCTCCCACAAAGACTGGAGACTGCCTGGCTAAATGTTATCCACATTATGTTTTACAAGCAGCTTGAGGGTTTTTTCCTGTGATAAATCATTCTGAACTTACTTCATTCTCACATGTACCCTCTACGCGTTTGGAATAGACTTCGGTTTTGACTAGGAGGCATTAGTAACTCTCCAGTTAAATGCTCCAGGTCATTGGATTGTTACTAAGAGTGGGGAAAACATCTGGAATCTGAAGTTTCTCTTGGCCTGGTGGGACAAGTTCGAGCGTTCTGTGGAATCGATCATCCATTGATCACTGAATGGCTCGAGTGAGGGGATTTCTGCTATGCTCTGTCAAGAGCTTGACAGCTGAGGACAACTGGACATAGACACAGATTGATAATGTAGAAATGGCATAGGCCAGAGCCCAATGCTGTGGTGGCTGCCTGAAGCAAGGTGTGCCTGCCCTTCCTTCCAGTTTTGTAGTCCCTCTGCTCATATTTTCATGCAGCCTCCTGTTCACTGGTGCTTGGAATATGAATCTCATGGAGGAATAGCAGCTGCTGCTGGGGCTTGTGACATGCCAAAGAGTCACTTTTATACATTCTCTTCTGTGGGGCCAAGTACTTCCATCTCCCTAGCTCTGTGGAATGCGTTTTGGAAATTTGAGCCGCTGCCCTCATCACTGCTGCTCTCATGGAAGAAGGGAAAAAGTGCCTTATGTTTACATGTATCTGCACTTCTCAGGGTGCTGGGCATCTTAAAGGGTAATGCTGTAGGGCAGAGGAATGGGCACGAGAACAAAACAGAGGGCTAGGAGGAAAACATCTCTAAGCGGTCATTGGTCCTCAGCAAACACTGAACGTTGTCTAAGCGGCTCTGATGCCCTGGACCAGGTGTGCTTACCTTGTAGCATGCTCCAGAGCTGTGTGGTATCAGACTATGCTGAGGAACCAGTCTTAAGGATTGGCCTCCTGTCTCAGTATGTTGTGCCTGTGCCTGTACTCTGTGTCCCCAGATGCCCTTTGAACTCTTACAAGAGCTGTACATTTAAGGAAACTGCAGAATAATACGGTTTATGAAGCCCTGCTGCTCCCGACACCAGGCGGTATATGTCTGCCTCCTCAGTGGCTGCATATAAGCAGTGCTGAGGACTATGTCCAGGTCTTTACTGGTGGGGGGCAAGAAGGACCCAAGTCATCCCACAGGGGTGGAGTAGGGCAGTCATGGAGCGGCTTCTCTGGAGGCATCGGTTTAGAAGCTGCCCCCACCTCCTGCTTTATGTGCCATCTGTATAATCCAGACCTTTGGACTTGGTATGCATAGGGGGGCCATGACGTATATTTAAAGCAGTAAATAGCTTGACGTACAGGGACCTTTTTTCTCAGAGTTGTAGTCTGTGGAAATACGTCATTTTCAGCTAAAATTAGACTGGCTTCAGCTACATTAAAAAAAAAAAAAAAAAAAAAACAACAACAACAACAAAAAAAAAAAACCCTCAGGAACTAAACTCTGTTGGACTTTGTCAGATGTAGCAACTCCTAGCAGAAATAACTCAGGATCCATCCAGCATAAACTGTGTGCAGAAGTCTGTGATTTTCGTTCAAAGAACTGTGAACTGTTAGAGCAAAGCAGACTGGTTAGGCAAGCAAGGTATTTTTCTTGCATGTCAGAAAATGTAAATAAGCTTAGAGAATAGTGATAGATCTTTTAAAGATACCAAATGAAGTCTGGGAGAAGTTGAATTTTAAATTAATTTTGCAGTTAATACTGTACAACTCCTGACAGTAGAGTGAGATTGGAGGGGCAGAGAGGGCGTTGAAATCAGAGAAATATTCTACTAATTGCTTCCATAAAAGTTAACATTACAGATTTAATTTTGTAGGAGATGCTTGAACTGACCCTACAGCTATCACCATAAAAAAAAAGGTACATTTTCTTTTGTAGTAAATATAACCCCAACCCTGAAACTATTTGCCTAGTGCATTAAACTCTAAGCACAAGTTGAAGTGACTGGACACTTAATGCTTTCTGAGGTCCAAATCTAAAATGTGTGGAGGGTAGTGGGGAGAAGAGGCTTGGACCCAAAATAAACAGCAAAAAACAAACAGAAAACCATTGAAAATTAAATGCACATTTTGAATCATTTATCTTTCAGAAGATTTTATTAAAGGAACAATGAAGGGAGTGTGTGAAGCCTAACTAAGTATTGTGTTGTTATTCCAGGCTTCATCAGCAGTTTCTTGATGTTTGGAAAGTTCTGAGGCCCACCCTGTTGGACTACTTGTAACCAGTGCCTAAGACTACAAAAACGTATGTGTGGAAGAACCTTTTCTTGAAGGAAGTGTCCGACTCAATATTGTGGAAATTCCGTGGAAGCCTTGCAAGGCAGGAGAGCAGTTTGTGCTTCCGTTGACGCTCGTGTGTAATCTCTGCTTCTTATGCACTCCAGCACCCCTATCAGTTCTCTGTTCTCCTTCACCAGCCCTGCAGTGAAAAGGCTGCTGGGCTGGAAACAAGGAGATGAAGAGGAAAAGTGGGCAGAAAAAGCTGTTGATTCCTTGGTGAAGAAGTTAAAGAAGAAAAAAGGTGCCATGGAAGAACTGGAAAGGGCTCTGAGCTGTCCGGGTCAGCCCAGTAAATGTGTCACGATCCCACGTTCCTTGGATGGGAGGCTGCAGGTCTCTCACCGCAAGGGGCTTCCCCATGTCATATACTGCAGAGTGTGGCGCTGGCCTGATTTACAGTCTCACCATGAGTTGAAACCACTGGAATGCTGTGAGTTCCCGTTTGGCTCAAAACAGAAAGAAGTGTGCATTAACCCCTACCATTACCGGCGGGTGGAAACCCCAGGTAATTATATCATCTACAAATGTTTCACATCTCTCTGTTAGCTCTCCCACCGGCAGGTCTAGGCTTGGTGCATCCTACCGAGTTGTGCTCTGAAATCTGAAAAGGCAGGCTCTGTTTGACGGGGGGGACCCTGGGTCTTTCCCTGCCTGGTGGTTTCACGGCTCCGGCAGCCAGCAGTAAGAAGGGAGTAAGGCCCCGTGGGGCCTGCGTGGGGTCTGCACCCATCGGACCCCCAGGGGCACCCGGGTCTTGTCCAGGGTGCTGAAAGCGAGCCTGGTCTCCACGGGCCTGGGTGCTGGCCACCCTCCCAACCCTCCCCGTGCAAACTCATGTCCATTTGCATGAAGTCAAAGCACCATCCTAGACTTACCACTCTGGCTAGATTTATGTTTCATTGTCTGAAAACCAACGATCGGCTCATTAATCCACAGGAACAGTGTGTGTCACTACCTCTCTGTCTAAAGATTAGAGTTGCAGTAAGTTTATTTTGCTGTGGATATGAAACCCAGGCAGCTGATTCTTCCTGAAGTGCCTGGTGGCCTGCCTTGGGTGGGATTTACATAACTAAATGGATAGTTTATGTGAAATAAATCCCACAAGTTCCCATAAAACTTTGAATTTTTCCAGTGATGATCCTCTTTAGACTGGATTTGGTCAGCACTGAAAACTTATGATCTCACTGAAGGGTCGTTTAATTGGGCCTTTTGTCAACGAAACAGCTGTTAAAAAATGATAGTGTTCAATACTGACTTCTATAGGGATCTTAGAAAGCAGGGCTGGCAGAGATGTTGAGGAGTCATCCTGTTCTCCTCTGCCCCCACTCCCAAACCAAAACAAATTACCAGGTACATTCCTGACAGATCTTTTTCTAATGAGCTCTAAAAATCCCATGTGATAGAGGCTCCGCAACCTCCCCAGGCAAGTGAATCTATTCCTTTGCTATCCTTACAGCTCAAAATGATTTCTAATGTCTAACCTAGCTCTCCCTTGCTGCCAAAAATCACAGTAATTTAATTTACTAATGGATATGGTTGGTAAGTATATACTTATTATTCTGTGATTGCTCTTTGTCTGGCATGAACTTTACTCTGAGGTGACATTAGGATCAGATAAGTGAACTATGGGATGTTTCTTTTCACACAGATGAAATAAGCGAAAGACATTTGTTAACATTTGTTAAACAACAGGGGCTGCTCCCTTTTCTGATAGTCCTTCAACTGCAGCAGAGCTGTCAGTTTGAAGTTGTATTTCAACTGCTGTAAACATTGTCACAACTAAAATTTTACAGCTGCAGTGAGTGGTGCTTGTTGTCAGCGGTTTTTAGTGGAAAGAGCTGATCTCCTGCCTTGCTAAAGTAAACTCTTCAAGAATCTAAGACAAGATGATCATAAAATATCTAAATTTGTGTATCTTTCTCTTTGAAAGCTGCAGTCTTTAGCATCTTCTCATTTCTTCTGGTGTAACTCTGGTGTAGCTAATGGCGTCTCCTCAGCGTGGTAACTGACAGCACTGCACAGTGCTGTTTTCAGCCCCAGTCTTCTGATCTGTGCAGTACCAGCTAGCAAACACTAGTACTGGGATATTCCAGCAGCTACCAGAGCTTGTTGTTCTGACCCTGAAACTCAGAAGGTTTCAGCTGCGAACACGTCTCTGTCGTTTGTCTGTGCACCAAACTGGCTACATCTCTGCTAGTCAGTGAGTCAGTACAGCTGAATTGGTAGCGTGCTCCCAGGCACAGCTTTGACCCATGTGGACTTGCATGGACTAGCAGTTCTCAGGGTGCAGGGGTTAGCCCACAGCAGGGACTTGGGGAAGTTTGGATGTGACCACCTTGTTTTTGAGGTGGAAGAGAGTGCAACTGCAACAATGCAAGTTGTGCTGTGCCCATTCTTCACAGGACCCAGGAATTGTTCTTGGGCTGTTGTATTCACCCCTACCGCCCTTCTTATGGGGACAGCTTAGAAGCTGAAGCTCACAAGCGAGTTATCTCCCTACTAAAGATGGGGTGCAGCAAGGAGTACAACCTACTCAGGTGTGCTGGGGCAGTGACAAGAGAGAGCTTACACTACTGCAAGTGGCAGCAGTGCAGCTCCAGGCCAGAAGCAGTTAGCAAGCAGTGCTGCAAGGTGGTGAGGCAAGAGAAGAAATGAGCTTCAGGAGAAAGTGGTAGCCGTGAGATCACCACAGAAAAGGCTGGGAGCGATTGATATAGTTGCTAGTGTGTTTAAACAGCAGTCCTCTCTTAACTACAGGAAATCTTCTGCATCTTGGCTGTTGATGATTTTAAGCTCATGTGAGATTTTGTGAGTCTCATCCTCTGGAGCTAAAGAATCCGCCCATTAAATTAGTCAGCAGTGCCTTTTTTTGTAATCCACAAGCCAGTATTATTTTCATACGAATGTCCATCCTTTTGGGGCTCACTTTCTATAACTGCAGTCTCTCTTGCTGAGTTAACCACTCTGTGACAAGACCTGTTAACTTTTATTCAGAATGAATGAGTTTTGTCAAAGATGGGACTCACCCTTTCTGTAATGGCCTGGCAGATCCTTAAACCTCTGTTACTTAGGGAGCATCTTTAAGCTCTGATTTGAGATTCAGGGGTTTCATTGCCTCTGTCGTGTCCTCAGACTTCCCAGCCACATCCTAGTCTATGCTGGCCAATACTGCACAGATGACACATGGCTTTTATTCCTGCTACCAGTGTCGCCAGCAGATTTCTTCTCGGGTCTGCTGAGCAGCAGGTGCCATTTAGAAAAAAGCAGCAAATGTTTCCTGAGGGGATAGGCCACCCAGCCTAAAGGAGATAGGTATGGTGGTTAGGCTCTGCCTCCCCCTTCATTGTTTTGCCTTGAAGAGCTGGTCAAAAGTCTGAATGGTTTGTTGTTAGGAGAAGCAGCAGTCTCAAAAATACAGAAGCTGCGTAAACATGTACCCTGTTATTTTTAAATTAGATCATTCATGTGTAGCTATTGCAAATTCTAGTGTGCACCACTGGTGTAAACAGCTGGTGCCTAAATGAGCTTTTGACTTGGACTAGCGGATTGCTTTTGTCAAGCCCAAGTGGGACTAAGATGTGGTAGCTTCCCAGTTGGAAGACCACCTGATGATCTCACTGTTGGCCATGTATTTGGTGTTTGTGAATGGTCATGGATATGGGGAACAGATGAATCTCACTGGAGAGGAGGTCTCCAAAGATAGTAAACTGCAAAGGTGGACTGATGTGTGAGAAATTGTAGTGGAGATGTTGTACTTGGAACTAAACTGTGAGGCAGATAGTTTGCTTGCTGGCATCTGAAGTCATAGGCTCTGAGCACCGTGAGGCTTCCAGGAAGAAGTGTTGCAGCTAAAGGGAACAGGAGAAAGCCTAGTGCAGGAAAGGCAAGTGGCAGAACTTGGGACATGATGATATTTGTATTCAGTTGAACAAAGATCATCAACATTTTGGCATGCATAGAAGAAAGTGTCCACCGCTGGCTCAGTGGAGAATAGCAAGTAGAAGAAAAGGACCCCACTAAGTGGAGACAGGCAGATTGTGAGGACAGACAGGTCCCAGTGCACTCAGTCACTCAGTTTCATGCCTCTGGTCATACTTCCTTCAGAGTGGTTGAGCCCTGGAGAGTGACATCTGTTACTAAAAGAATGAGGAGAACAAGGCCCTCTGGGGAATTTTTAGCCACAAACAAGAAAATCTCTGAATTTCTCACCACCACAGAGGCTTTATCCTCTAGGCAGCCACAGAGCAGTCAGTGGAAAGATTGAGCGAGGTGGCAAAAACTGTACAGCAGAGCAGAAATTAAGAATACCCTGGTCAGAGCTGGGAAGGAGTTCAAGGCTTGAAAATTCCTCTTGCTGACTCATTCCGGGCGAGTCAAAGGCTTTCTCTGGCAAGTGCTGTTCACACATTGAGATTCTCAGCTTTCATTTAGAGAAGGAGCTGCACTGAGTTCTCACAGGGCTGAAGAAAGCCGCTTCCTTCGCGGTGGTACCCGCAGCGAGGTGCCAGCCTCCCTACACTGCACGGTGTTGCTGTTGCACAGCTGTCCCTTGCTCGGCACCTCTGCTGGGTGCAAAGGGATCACTAGTTCCCTGTTTTCTAAGGCTGCTTGGTCAGAGCTGTCTGAGCAGCAGCAGACCTGGCAAGCATCATGGCAGTTTCATGGAGCAGCAGAGGAAAGCTCCAGAAGCAGCAGCTCTTCTCCAGAAGCAGCCCTCTTCGGAGGGATCACCAAAACCACATCTGCAGTGGTGGTACTGGTCTTGTCTCAATATGGAGCAGATGAACTGAGCAATAAAAGAGTCTGTTTCTCCCCACTGGCTATGAAGAGATTTTTGGGGGACTGGGCAATGCATCTCAGATGTGAATACCTGTATTGCCTGTATGAGTCCTACCTGGAGAGTCTAGGAAATCCAAAAAGCTAAAGAAGTAGTAAAGAAGCAGAAATACCTTTCTCTGCCAAAGAACTTAAGCGGGTGGTAACAAAATCTTCATCCCACGAGTAGGGGCATATCAGAAGCAGAAGGAAAGAAAGTAGTTTCCAGAGCACCATCCTTTTGCTGGACAGAAACTAATTAGAAATGCACTGGGCCAGAGAAGGGATTACATACAGTCTCTTAACAGGTATCCCAGTGCCTGTGTTTCCAGGCAGGTAAGAAGATAACTTCTGCAGTGAACCCCTTGTCATCAGTCCAATCTTTTACATGTTTTTAGGGCTCAGTTCTTCATTTCATGGGTGACTGGCAAAATCCCAAATGGTATATGCCAGTGGGTAGACAGGAGCACAGTTTAGCCCTGGCCTAGCTGCAGTATAGTGCTACATCAAGCAAGAAGCTGTAAACCTGATGTTGGTACCAGGCACTCGTCCTCCTCCTCTTGCTTAAACTGCCCCAGCTCTCCAAGCAATCGATGTGCACGGAGGGTGCACTCCAGGAAAGGTGTTCCTACAGCCTCTTCTCATGCACATGTTTTGAATTATCTATGTATTATTTACTTTATAGCAATTATTCCACTCTTTCATTAAGCTGGATAAATGAGAGTTCACTGTAATTAAAAGGTGTTAGCTAACCTACCTAAAAAGAATTGGCCTTACCTAGGCAGAGCTTTTGGGCCCAAACAATATGTTAAAACACGTTCAAACCATATATTCCTGTCAGCATTTATAACCAAGAGTGCACATTGCTATTTGTTTCCGTAAGCTTGTAAGGATAGGCTAAAAGATTACGTGCTGCTGGGTTTTAGTCCAGAGGAACTCTGGGCACTAGGTCAATCAATGCAAGCCTGCTGAATTGCTCCTGGTGTTGGGACAATTCATCCTTGTCACAACAACTCAAATTGCCTCCTTATCTTCTCTGGTGGCTTTTAGCTCTGCACGATAGCAACTGGGGATTCATTCTCCCTAGCAGTGTTTAAGGCCTTAACTAAGATAATTAGGCACTATGTGAGCTAGTAACTGTTAGAGAAGTCTTGGGGTACATGAATTGCCCATTGTAGGTGCTCTTCTCCCCCCAAAGACTACGGGGACCCAGTTAGAGCCTCCAGTTGAACTCCCATATGCAGAACTATTTAGCAAGCCTCTGTGTTTCAGCCTAGGAGCTGCCTCTTCATGGGTAACTCAGGTTTTTTAAAGTGTTTCGACTCGAGTTCTACTCTCGCTCCTTATATGCCAGAATCCAAAATAACTTGGGTCAACTTTAGATTTCTTAATGCAGCTGTGCTGTTACCAGCACTAAAAATATGAGAGGTAAGTGAAGACAGTTTGTGAAGAGAGGCAGTATCTTCTAGTAGATCAGTTTTTACATGGATGAATTTGGATTTCAGTTTTCTGACCTGCGTTTTTCATGTCTTAACTACCAACCACTGACATTTGCTTCCTCATGCTAGATCTTTTCTAACTATATTGCAAGAGCTAAATTAATATTGCTGCAATATTTGAATTGCCATTTACATTTTCTTTTAAAGATCCCACTGTCTGGCTGGCAGCATTTTCAAGTACCTGAAAACATTTTAAATCTGGTGTCTAGCTTCAGGTCTGTGCTTCCTTTTGCCCATCTGTAAACGTTGGTAGTAAAATACACAGTGTTTTGTGGAGCACTATTAATTGTTACTAGACTTGGCTGTGGTTTTGGCAAATCCTGGTGATAATATTTAGCAAACTCCCGACATGCTCAGTCTTGAAGGAAGGAAGAAATAGGCAATTTTGAGAGGGAGAAATGTGTCGCTCGCATTTCTGTAAGGGCTGTGTGCTTATGCCACACCTGTGAATTTTATGGTACCTTGCTCAAGTCAGGAATAAGTCCATATTTTGCATATGGAATTGCTGCGACTGGCTGCATATCTGAAAAAAAAAAAGGTCTAAGAATCAGTTTTTGATTCTTGTTTTTGGACAGGTTTGTTGCTCTTCAATGACCTGTATATAGACAGCAGTATTGGGGCAGCATATCTGAAAAAAAAAGGTCTAAGAATCAGTTTTTGATTCTTGTTTTTGGACAGGTTTGTTGCTCTTCAATGACTTGTATATAGACAGCAGTATTGGGGCAGCATGGAATATGCCTCTTTTTAACTTACAAAGAGATACACTTTCAAGAGTGCAGTTTTAACCAGATTTTTTCTGTTCTTGTTTTTATTTTCAGTCCTACCTCCTGTACTTGTTCCAAGACACAGCGAGTTTAACCCTCACCTCAGCCTTCTCGCCAAGTTTCGAAACACTTCTCTGCACAGCGAGCCGCTGATGCCGCACAATGCCACCTATCCTGAGTCTTTCCAGCATCCTCCATGCACCCCTTTTCCATCATCACCCAGCCACATGTTCTCCCAGTCGCCTAACAGCATCAGCTACCCCAACTCACCAGGAAGCTCTTCTGGACCTGGAAGTCCCTATCAGCTCACAGGTAAGAATGAGCTTTCAGACATCCCACCCGAGGCAGTCATGGTTCTTGCCAGGGCCTGGGGTCAGGTGCCAGTTTGGTGTGCTCCCTCAGGATGTAGCCACAGATTGAACTGTTGGACAGAATGGATTTGGAACATGATTTCTTGTGACTGTCCTAGTATTGTCTCCCAGTCCTTCTGGGTGCTTAAGGGCCTAAGAGTTGTAGTCATCCCACTCCTAGAAGTACCTGGATTTCATGATTACTGTAAGGGCAAAGTTGAGGAGAGGAGCAGGTGTGCTAGACTACCTTCTGCCTAAAGTACATACAAGCTTCTGATACAATCCATGGGAAAGAGCACTTTTCCTACAACACCTAAGTTAGGCGCCTCTAATGGACATGGTCAGGGCAGGGACCTTTAGAAACTGCATCAAGAGAGACAGGATAAAATTGGGGGCATTGGTACACAGAAATGTTTTTTTAATGTATCCCACAGACTGTATAAACTTCAGGAAAGTAAGGTGTTTAACAACCTGGCCCGACACTTGGTTGAAGCCACCAGGCAAATTCCTATGACTTTGGAATGTGTTTCATCAGTTCCACAGTTCTGAGGTCGTCAGGGTTATGTCACTCTGATTTGCATTGTGAACTCTTTACTTAGTACTGCTCTAATTACCTGAGAATTTAACTATGCTTTTGCTGTTAAATATACCAAGAGCATGTCATACAACACAGTTGAGATCTAGCTTTAGTATCAAAACATGGTTCAGATTCACTTCTGCACTTTGTTGTAACTAAAATAGATTCAGTGATCTCAGCTTTTTCACAAAGATGAACTCAGGTCAGAATCTTGCACTTTAATGTTTTAATGTCTCAACTACAAAACATTTAAATTCATGTCCTTAATGATGTGCCTATTTTGATTTTAAGTGCAAGAAAGGTGTTTATTTTTACAAAGTATTTGTAGTATTTGAACTTTCTTTAAGCTGGACACTTTCAATGTAGTGTGATGTTTTTCCTTCCCTCTCTATTCATTGAATGGACCTTCATTCATTTCTTCTCTAGATCTGTACTTCAGATTAAATCATATTTAGCAACATCGAAACATTTCAGCAAGTTGTAGGACTTGTTTGTCTTCTCCCATCTTTTTCTTTCACCTCTGTGTAACCAAGCTGGATTCAGTGGAGCTGGTCTTGACAGGTAAATCAGGCCCATTCCAACTACATAATGACTCTTGACTCGTGCATTTAACTGAACTTGGGACCTTGCAAAGCTACTTAAAAATGGAAGTGGCTCAACCTGAGCTTCAGTATATCACAGCACACAGCATGCTGATAAGCATAATTTGCCTGTGTAACAATCAGGGATGGAAGATTATCTAAAGCAAACTGGAGTTACATCAAGAACCTTGAGTGGGATTGGTGTGACCAAATATAGATGTCAACAATGCAAATTTCTACATCTCATACAGTTGTATATACTCTCTCTGTAATCAGTGGAGAAGAACAGACACTCCTAGAACAAGATTCATTGCATCTTAAGGTATATGTCTAAAGTGGCTGAGATGCACCACATCTGCAGATGCCTACTTTTCTTTAGTGGCTCTAGGGAGATCTTATGGTGACTAGTTTAGGTGTAGACATCAAAAATATCTGTATAACCACATTATACAGATTATACATTATAGTCCTTTCTGTGACTTGTATTCTCTTCCACTCTTTCCTGATTTTGTCTGACTGTTTGACTGTAGCTTGTTGCATTTTCAGTGGGAGGGTTATGTCATCTATATGTTAGAAATATCATATGTTCATATAGTGTATGAAATCCCTAAATCCTGAACAACGCTTAAATAGATTAACATTCATGTGCAGTACTTACTTGGAAGATTCAGTGGTTGTCTTATGAGACAGTCCACATTTATCCACTCTGGGTGAAGTTTTTCTGTTTTGAGGGCCAGACAGCAGACCCCAAACAAGAGGAAATTTCGGCCTGGAAACAAGTTAAACCCTGGTCTCCTTAAAGAGACCCTTACTTCTGCAAGCTTGTATACGGCTCTAATTTACATATAAGCCCACAGAGTTTCTGTTCAGATGAATAAAACTACATGCTTTTAGTGCTTAGGTAGTGAATTTTGACATTTTCTAACATGGAAATGAAGTCCCTTTTTCTTTGGCTTTCTAAAGCCTCCTGTCTTTCTTGAGAATCCCCACTATAGAGTCACCTTCTGTTTTCTAGCTTACTGTACCATAAATGAAACAAATCAGGAGCTGGGCAGGTTGTGAGTTAATACTTTTTCTTCATATTTTTTCATCACATCCATTGCTCTTTGATGGGAGACTGAACAAACCAGAAGAGGGTCAGCCTTCCCTTGTAGCACAGAGGTAAAAAGGACAGTTCTAGAGGGGGTTTTGCCAGCTCTGGTTTTAGAGTGTAAAGGCTTCCCATAGGCTTTTTTTATAGCCTGTGAAGAAATAGAGCTTTCTCCCAGAGGATCAGTTAAAGTTAGCTTCTGCTCTTAAATCATCCTCTTCAAGTTTTAAATTTGCAAGAGAAGTATAGAACTGAAGGATCAAACTGTGTTACTTTCTTAGGATAACAACTGGTGTTAACAGAGAGCTTGACTGGTCACCGGTCGAGGCTTGAGGCACTGTTATGACTGTCCCTCTCTCTTTCAAGTGCAGCCCTTCCTTCGTGTCCTCCCTGAACATGTAACGGTCTTAATCTGGAGACTGAAGGACAGTCAGGTTCATATTTGTGCTCTGTTTCCAGCCCTTCTCTTGCTAAACAATGAAGAAGTTAAGTATTCACCAGGAAACGCCAAGGGGAAATTACCAATATATTGATTTAGGTGTCTTTTCTTTCTTTTCTTCTCTCTAATAGTGGAAACTCCACCCCCGCCTTACCATGCAAGAGAACCTCCAGGGACCCACAATGGGCGGTCAATGGATGCCATAGCTGAAAGTCAACTAGTGCTGTCTTTGCCCAATGGAGGTAAATCTGCCGATGGAGAAGCTGAAAGTAAATAACCATTTGTACTATTCTTCAAAGAAAAAATGTTAAGCAAAAAAAAAAAAAGTGTTATTTGAACAAGAAGGTTTAGTGATCTTTAATAGTAGGTTTTGGACAGTTGCAGTAGGACTGTGTCCTACAGTCATCCATTAGCTAGCTGAACAGGTTGACTTAAGAATTCGGTCAGTTATATGCGAAGTTACAGAGTTTAAACCTTATTTGCATCCATGGACTATTAGAATTAGAAAGCTGTTAATGGAAGCAAACACTATTATCTGTGTTGTAAAGACAAAGATATCAAATCAAGGATGGTGAGGCAATATAACACACTATCAGAACTGATTTCTTTATCACCTTCAGTTCTGGGTTTCAAGTACTTTAAAGACTTGTGGTTGGGACCTTTCTTACTGCCATTTTTGTATTAATGTTACATTACTGGCTGGCTAGAAAAGAAAAGGATGTATTCCAGTGAAGTAAAAAGAGATTTTTACAGAAGACCAAACTCTTTGTCCTCATGTAAGAATGCTTTAGTGGGAGAGGGCATGGGTGGTCGGAGCAGAAGGGTCTGGGATCTTCCTTGCTCCCCTCAAAGCAACTTCATGACCTTTCCAGCATTGCCTCCGCTACCTCCAGACCAGTAGTGGCAGGAGATGCCTCCACCATTCAGAGTCCATTGCTGAAGAGCAGCAAGGGGAAATGAAGTTCCTCTGCTTGGTTTTCCTTTGGCTTCCTGCTATGGCAAAGGAAATAATCACCATTGTTCTTTCAGTCCAGCATATTGTAGTCCTAAACAAATGTCCTTTATGGCATGAGGTCTGAACCCTGTGCACACATATGCACATTAATAAAATAATGACACCTTTCTGAAACAGTGAGGTACATGTATGTATCACAGCACTGGAGCAGAAGGAAGAGGAGGGTGATAGTGCTAATTACAGATGAGTACACAGAATGGCCAGATAATGACTAGTTATCAGACAGGAATACCTTTAAATAAATGGTCAGGATACTTTAATTTCTTCACCATATCCTGATCACTGTCCTATTGAATATTAGTAGGAAGTTTATTAGACATTATGCACAGAGGTGCTCTGGGGGCAGGGAGGGTCACATGCATGTGGTGGGCAGGCAGGATAAGGTTTCCCACTAATTCCTGTAGGACAAATGAGGATCAGAGATTCTGTTACATTTTTGAGTCTGTCTCTGAGTTAGAAAACCTGGGGAGGGGTGAATCCAAAAGAAATGACCTTGCTGACATTTCTGCTTATGGTTCCACATGGAAGCGCAAAGCCCCAAAGCATGCAAAAAATTGGGGGCAGTGATCGATTACTTCTGAGCCTCCGAGTTTGATATTAGGCTGAAGGTTTGGCTCGGTTTTGACTTGCTTTGAGCCCATCTGTCATCCCTAGCTCCTGCTGGTATGCAGAGCAGATGTATCCCTTACTATTTTCAGTGTAGAGGTTGGGCCCTGGTTCAGCAAGGAATGTCAGCATGTGCTTAATTTAATGCAGTGGAGTTATCACTTTTAAGAACAAGTGGGACTCCTCAGAGGCTTAGAGTTAGGCTGGTGTACCAGCCCTTTGCGTGTTTGGGGCTTCAGTCATAAAATTAAGAAGAAACAGAAGCTGCTGTTGAGATCAAGTGTGACCTAAGTGACTGTTTAGATGAAGAGCTGAGGGGAGTGGGAGTGGGAGGGAGGAAAGAAAACAGAGAATGGTTGTTTAAAAAATGTTCCTGAGACCTGAGCAGCTGATTAATTTTATTTCCTATAGACTTTCGGCCTGTCTGCTATGAGGAACCCCAACATTGGTGCTCAGTTGCCTACTACGAACTCAACAACCGAGTAGGGGAGACTTTCCAGGCTTCCTCTCGAAGTATCCTTATAGATGGATTTACAGATCCCTCAAATAACAAAAACAGATTCTGCCTGGGACTGCTCTCAAATGTAAACCGCAACTCTACTATAGAAAACACTAGGAGACACATAGGAAAAGGTAAGAGGAAATCCCTTCTCCTCAGCAATATTCAGAGCTTGAAAGAACCATGCATTGCATTAACAAACCTACTTGATTTGTGAGATGTGCTTGTCTTAAAACCAAAGCTCTGAGATTACTTCTGAAATAGAAGAAAAGCAGCTGATTCTTTTCTGACTGGATAACAATCAGCAGAGTAGCTCCTTACAAAAGCTATTTACTTGGCCAGCAAAGAGAAAAATGTTGTTTATAGTTGTGTGTTCTAATTTAGCAGTATGTATTTTCATTTTATTTATTAGAGCTTCTGGCAACTGGGAATATTGCCACTGAAATGCCACTAAAAGGATAATTGCTGGTGCCTCAGGGCTGGTTCTCCTCCCACCAAATAACAAAGGGAGATGGATGCAACACTTAGCAGTTGAGTTAGTTTACCGGAGTTGCCTTTGTAGCTTTTTCCAGCAGCTACGGGTCTGGGGTCTGATTCCCTGCCTTGTCAACTTCTCACCAATCGAATGAACTCTTGAATTCTCCCTCCAGCAGTCCTCCTTGTATGCTCCACTTCTGGTGTACGTCTATCCTGTGCATGCAGGATCATATGCTGCTGGTGACAAGTCTGAGGGGACCACACCTGGACATGCACGGCCACACACACTCCATCCCAGCTCACTAGGGCTGTGTGATATCCCCTGATATTCTCCTGGAACGTACTGTCGTTTGTGGCAGTGAGTCAGAGGCCCCGTACCTATTCTGGTATATCCAGTCTAGACTCATTATCTTGCCAAACCCAGCCTCTCACCTGTAGCTGCCTGGGAATGGATTTCCCACTGAGCTAATTAACTCTAATTGTTCCACTCCTATTATCTTGTCAACCTCACCTCATTTCCCAGGCCTAGAGCAGTATTTTAATTGGCTCTTGATAGTCTAGTGTTGAATGATTGAATATGAGGAAACTCTGAGATAAAACGTGACATCGTTTTTACAAACAACCCTGAATCTGAAGGCTGGCACAGGAGATGTTGTACTTACCTCTTGCACTTTCCTCCAGAAGGGAAAGCACGTGTGCTGCAGATGCACCGTATGAAGCCAGGGTGATGCTACAAGTGTCTGTCATAGTAGTTTGTTGTGAGGGCTGGAAACGAGTTGTATATCTAGTTCTAACTTAAAAAAAAAAAAAAAAGCAGAGCTTCTCTATAAGCATAAGCTGTCAGAGGGGTGTAGATCAAAGCAGAGCCCAGCTCTAAAAGAAGAATGACAAAAGATCCCAGTCAAACCTGTCGTTTCAGGATGTTACATCCTGTGACTTTCTGCCCAAAAAGAGGAAGAGACAGAACAGAAAGAAAATGAGGTAAATGCTAATGGTCTTCATCCATTTAAATCTGAAGATCTGTCTTCATTGATTAAAAGTCCTTTAAAGTCTTACACTAGGAATCTGCCCAAGGGAAGGGAGCAGGTTGCCCAGAGAGGATCTTAATATATCAGAGATCCTTAATTTTACTGCTCTTCCCTGTTTATGCAAATCTTAAAAAACCATATTCAAGTGGAGTAGAAGTGGCACCAGTACAGGCCTGCAGAAGAGCACAGAGCAGCTCCAAAAGTGTGTAGTTCAAAGGCATGCTGGACAGATGAAAGCTACTGAAATGGATACAATTGTCACATGTTAAGAGAGGAGAAAAAAGAGTGAGTAAACAAGATTAGCTCAGTAGGATAAGGATATGTGATTGAATTGTCATCTAGTGTATCAGCGTGAAACGGTTTCCTGGAAATACCACATCAAAGCTAAAAACAATCCAGAACACAATGCGACATCTACTAGCAATTGGACCTGTTTCAGCAGTCAGACTTCAAGGACAAAAAGGGCCCTTCTGGTCAGTGCCAGAAAGATGTGGACGCTTAGAGACTGCTGAATTTCCAGTGTCTGCAGAGAGCAATGAAATACCACTAAAACATATGGACCTTGATTTGGTCTTCTACAAATATGTGTTTATCTGCTTGGCTACCTTGAGGGTGCTTGTCTCTGGTGATTGAATACCAGCAGACTGGAAATACACACTGACATTTCACTACTGCTGTATTTATTGCTTTTAAAAAGTCCACAGGGAAAAAGAAAACTGTAGCCTTTGCTTTCAGAAGTGACTTTGGTGGTTTTGTTGTTACAGTACACAGTTTGGGCAGTGCCTTTGAAAGCATTCATTTTTTTCAGAAGTTGGGTCACTCAGTATACTCCGAAAATCCAGCCTTTAAAATTTTTCACCTTAGCACCCAGAAGTGTGGTCACCCTAAATCAGTAGCCACACCTGATGATTTGAAATGTGGTGAACATTTATGTCCTTATTCTTCTCTCCCTACCCTGTGTTCTCACTCTTAACTATTTCAGTAAGTTACATGGACTCCATCAAGCTCAGCTAGGACCTTTATGTTTTCAGTCCTTCCCTTTTATCCATCTTCCACAGAAGGGAGAGGAGACATAGGTCAAGTAATAGCAGTCACGATGTGCAACACCTCATAATGTCTGGTGCAGTTGGACTGGAGCTGACAACTGGTCTAATGAAGCTGTCATCTCACCCATGTTCCCAGTGCAATACTAGTGTGTGCTCTGAGCCACACCCCCCACCACTCACATCTAATTTGAGATCTCGTGGGTGCATAGAAGTAAAAGTCAAGTGATGGCTTGAAGACAGACTTTAAGGTTCCCGTCTGAGTCACCCTGGAAGTCTATGGGAGAGTGTATTTTTCCCAGATTCCTTTCCCACTCAACCTGCTTTTCCCCGAGCCTTTCCCACTTTTGTTTAGAGGCTGTTTTTGTCCTAAGGATGTGCTGCTGCCCCTTGCTGTCACGACCACAGAATGACGAACAGACTGGGAATATGTAACCAGTCATTTTGTATGAAAGACAACAGGAATAAAACTAATTACAGCTGAATTATTAAAGCATAGTTATCACTAGCTTTTCAGACAGTCCACTGAGACTCTGTGAACATGTGCATTTGTATTTGAGAGTCTGAATGCTGTACCTGGGAATAGAGAGGAGGATTTTATTTTTATTTAGTGGTGGTTTTTATGAGAACAAAGAACTGAGTTCCTCCATCTCTCTTGGCCATGGGAGGGGCTCATTTCACCTAGCCATGGGAAGGGTGAATGTCTAGGCATCTTCACAGGATGACTTGGCCCCCTTCAGGGTGTGGTTTCATGCTCACGTTTAAGCAGCCTGGGTCCCCATTGCCACGCTTGCACTGATGAAGATCTCACTGCAAATAAATCTTCTGCTTTGTTTTGTTTGTTTTGAAGTTTATTAGCTGGTTCAGTTCCCCAATCTGGATGGCAGCCCAATCCCCAGCCATTGCTGCCAGCATGGAAGCAGGTGTGGGAAGAACCAGCAGAGGCAGGGAACCAGAGAGCCTTTTCAGCACCTGCACAGACTTCCATCAGTTTAAGCTGGCTGTGAGCCTGTACTCTGTCGTGGATGGAGTGAATCATCTGGTCACAGTGCCTCTCATCATCTGTCAACCAGAGGAGACATCCACACAATTAGTTTATACAAGATCCCGAACTTTAAGGTTCCTGAATTGGGCTGAGATAAATTATCCCACCAATTAGGTATATTTTCATGCAAGCAGACCTCCTGGGGGGACCTAAGTCTTTGAATGGATAGGAATGCTTCCATCTTCATTTCCCTGAGGCACGGTCAAAATTTGAGAGTTAGTGTTGGTATGTCACTTGGTCACTGAAAAGTCCAGAAGGAGATCAGTCCTTTTCTTGCTAAAGGTCACTTTGAACAGGATCTGATGAGTAAGTCCTGTCATGTAAATGCAAATACATGATACTGATGTGTTGGATGAAGCAAAATACAGAAAAGCTATTTTAAGCACACACCATGCTGTGTTTGAACTGCGTGAGATAGGATCCTGTAGTAAAGAAATAGCGTGCAGGGAAGTGGGTCTTGGTCAGCGTGAATGTGCTCAGCAGTGAAAATACATTTAGATGTGTAATGAGTAACAGATTTGCCAGTTCTCTGGCAGTTTTGATCCATGCTTTGTGTATGGTTGACATATGTTTGATATTAATGTCTGTGTATATGTATGTGTATGTGTGTCTTGTCATAACGTACTATGCTGTTGGGTTAGAGAAGTGAACCAGCCTTCACGGAGAAACAAAGAAAAACATCATGCACCAAGCCTTTTTTCTCCTAGACCAGGACCTCAAAACAGTGTTTATGACAATTTCCTCTTAATGTTGGTGGGTCCATCATACAGTTTACTCTCTTTTAAAAGGCAGTATAGGCACTGGGTGCCTGGAATGATCCTGGGCTTCTATGCCCACACCAGTAAAATAGTTAAAAAATTACTGATATAAAGTGTCTTGTGAACAATGGAGAAATAATACACATTATTTTTCCTTTTTCAAGGTGTTCATCTTTACTACGTCGGTGGGGAGGTTTATGCCGAATGTGTCAGTGACAGCAGTATTTTTGTGCAAAGCCGCAACTGTAACTACCAGCATGGTTTCCACCCAGCCACTGTCTGCAAGATCCCCAGTGGCTGCAGCCTCAAGATCTTCAACAACCAACTCTTCGCCCAGCTGCTTGCCCAGTCAGTCAATCATGGTTTTGAAGTGGTGTATGAGCTGACCAAGATGTGTACTATTCGAATGAGCTTTGTTAAAGTAAGGATTCTTGGGTTTTTCTTGCATTTCTGAAAAGGTAGATCCCATCCCTTGCTAGCTTTGGTGCAAAACTAGACCCCATCAAATCCTTCCCAAGTGGGGATTTAGACACCCAACTTGCAAATAGAAATTCAGACTACCTGTTGTCCAGTATTGCCTTAAACCTACAGGTGCTTAAAATTGGTAGCTTTTGTAGTCAACCTAGAAATTACTTAGGTTCTAAAATTTAGGTATTCCATAGTCTTTCTGTGGAAAATAACCAGAGATTGCATGGAGATGTTCCCCCATTGATTGCATGAAGAGCTCAACTTAGCGGGGCTTAGCAACATGTAAATGTCGTAGCACATATCTTAGGCAGTTGTGATCTTGCCTATCGTTACTGGTTTGCAATAGAGCTCGGTAGAGCCATAAATCTGAAAAGAATATCCTTATGTCTCTGGACTAATTTACCGTTTCACCATTACTGTAGACTGGTATAGGTGGTCTCAGTCAAGAAACACTGGGTCCTCCTTCTGGTCCCACCGAACTTGCTGGACATTGTTGTTGTTTGCCACCTGTCTGATCCCTGGTAAGAGATTGTCTTAATTTCTGATGACATTCACTCTGGCCAGCCACACAACCTGAAGGGCTTCTTGCAAGCAGAATGCAAAACCCAAAAGAACATCTGACCTTCCACCTGTTATTTGGAAGAGACAGGGGGCCACCAAAGCCATTATTGTTTCCGTATCTTCCGTATCTGAACTTTGCAGTCTGACAGTTCTGTGTGATGTATCAGTCTTTGTGGGAGTTTCTTAAATCTTCTGAATGGCCTTCTCGCCAGAATTAGATCTCTTGACTCCTTTTAGCACAGGATTTACTCAGGTGCCTGTTGTAGCATTGAAACCTCAGAGAATGGTGAGTATTTCAAGACTTTACAGATGTGCTAGAATGACTTCCTGTAGTGCTGCTGGGGAGAGCTGACAGCAGTGTGTTCAACCTGCAGAAAGGCGCACCATTAGAAGCCAGCTGGTCCTGCTAGATAACGTAAGAAGTGTCTTGAGTGTGTCCCTTTGTCCTGCAGATTCGTTTCTATACAAATGGCTGAATCAAGCTGATTGAATTCACAGCTAAGATACTACAAAACTGCTTGAGGCTCAAGACCAGTTCCCCTGTGTTCTGCAAAGCAGATGAGTTGAGTCCCACGCAACTTTCTGGTCTGACTCTTTCCAGCCATCCTTGGGGACCCCTCTCCTTAACTCTCTGAGAGCATTAAGAGTGCCCTGTAACTTCTCCCAGGAGTCCGAGCCAAATCTCCCTGCCTGTGACCATGCTGTTGCTTTGTTCTTGGGAAGGAACTGACACCTTGTTCACACGCAAGCATTAGGGGAAAGAAAGAAAGCAAGAAAACCAACAAACAGAATTTTCTTTAATGGAAGACATGAATGGGCATGTTGTCTGTAAAGGCACTGTAGCCAGTTACACAATATTTTCTTTATCTCAATAACTCAGGGGCAGTCTCTTTGATGTGTTATCTGCCTCCATGCCCAGCATGGCAGCAGAAATGGTGGTGTTGATGCACTAAATAATGCTGTTGCCATATTATCACCTCGCTTTGTTGAAACAATACCAGCTACTATTGTGCCTCAGGCACCACAAGACCAGTGCAAGGAGTTATTTTGAACCCTTTCCCGTGACCTTTAGAAAATAGCTATGCAAATCTTTGTAGATTCTTCCATCCTGGCCTGTAAGAACCCTTTCCTGTACTCGAGTCTTCTCAAATTATTTCTCTCCCAAGGTGTGAGCCCTGGTGTGTTTGGTTTGAGGACAGGAATGCCCCAGGGTGTTGGGTGTGCAGTGCACAGCGGAGCATGCTGTCTGTCAGAGCAGCACACCAAGAGTCCCCAGGTGCAGGACAGTCCTGTGGCTTCTCCCCTGGTTCATGTCCAGATGCTGCTGGTCACCTACAGCCCATAGAGGAAGCAGAGCCAAAGATCTGGAGACCCTGTCTCCTACCCCACCAGTGCTTGAGCTGGGAAGCAGGGATGGGTAGGGACCAAGACATGAGAAACTTGCCAGGACTGTGTCATCTCCTGGAGGAAGGACATGGGACAAAGGGAGGTGAAAGAGCTGTCCCCCCTGATGCCCTTCATGTGCCCACGGAGCAGCTGAGCAGAGCTCAAACCTCAGGCAAATGTGAGTGTATCGTCTGGGAGCAGACCGCAGTTACCATCCACTGAGCGCTGCTGGTAACCAAAGCAGGATGGCTGTTGTCCCCTCTCCACAGATGAGACGGCTGAAGCACAAACTGAGGAGATGGAGAGTTTCTCCAAAGTGAGGCCTGAACCCAGCACCCTTCCTCCCACGTTTCCCCAGGTCTTGGGGCTAAGGGGGTGAGCCAGCAGGCTTGGCCACGCTCCACTGCACAAGGCAGCTCAGCGCTCCAGGACGTGGCTGGAGCCTGGGCTGGAGAGAGCTTTTGCCCACAGGAGGTGGGAAAGGCTGGCAGGTGCAGCAGGACCCCTTGGCTGATCTCCCCCATGCCAGAAGGCTTATTTCTGGTCTCCCCGTGAGTGTATCGGTATCTTCTTCCCACTGCCTGTGCAAACACCACCACAGCTTTGCAAATTGTGCTCATTTTATTCCTTCATTAAGAGAGCCCCACCTCCGGGTTCGCTTCAAGCCCCGGGGATGAAGGAGGCTACTTGTGGCCCGGGAGTGATGTAGGGGAGGCACAGGGGGTCCTGCCCTCCTGGGATTTCCCGTGCTGGGATCTCCAGCTGGCAGCCCGAGACAGCAGCTCTGAGCGTTTGGCAGTTGCCAGCAGAGGGAGATGGCCAGCCACCGGCACGCACTGCCAGCCTCCTCCACATCGGGCACGCTGTGCTTGCAACCTGTAATTCTTATTCCTCCGGATTTTCCGTCCTGCCAGTCAGCAGAGGTGCACCGACTCCTCTGACACTCGCCCGTCTGGCCGTATATCTTCACTGCAGCTGAGTGCTTTAAGACTTCACAAGCTCAGAAGTCTGACACCACTGATTTAGAGTGGCATTTTATGCGAACATTTCCAGAACGTAGATGAGGTGCCTGCGAACACAGGCCCTTTCTAGCCTGATAAATCCTCTGCAGGTGAGAAAACTGCTGCCTTTTAACAAGTACTCCTTGGGCTTTGGCTTCTTCCCTCTTCCACACTTTCTTCATTAAGTAGAAATGGATTTTATCCAGACTGCTTACTATGGCATCTAGTTTTGGTGTTGATCCTAGTTTTGCAGCTGATTGTCTACAGAGGTAGGTTCTAGCAGCCTCAGTTGTCCAAATTTTTCATCACTCTACAATTTAGGTACCTTTGGCAGGCATCAATCTTAATACACCTCTGTGTCCTTTTTTCATGACGAGGATACCAACCCGCCCGACTAGCATAGTGATAGGTGAGACTCAGCTTCTCTGGCGAGCAGCCCGCAAGCGAAGCGCCTCATCCTGCCGTGGGACTGCATTTTGCACATTGCCCTATGGAAATCCAAGTTCAGTTCTGGCAGTAAGGCAGACGGTGAGCCGCGAGACTTTGGGCTGTGACTTAGATGTCTTGCGTGTCTGTGAAATCAGGCTGCCTGCTTCACAAGCAGACACTGTGCCCGCTTGAGGCGTGGGGACTTCTGCTTCTCTTTTCTCCCTGCCAGCATCACATCCCCATCTTTTGTCAGACGTTCCATATCCCTTATGTCCCCAGAAGAGCTGGAGAAGTTACTGCAGGACTTCCCACAGCAGAGAGCTGGGAACTCCCTTGGGAAACGAGGACATGTTCAAGGATAGAAAACCTATAGAAATGTCTAGCTGTAGGTTAGGTGTGGTACATAGGAAACTTGCTGGAAGTTTCCAGAGGATCAGATAAATACCTAGAACTTCTAGAGTCTCAGACTCACAGGATGCATCTCTACCAATTAATGAAGCAGTGCCCAGGATCGTTCCCAGTTCCTGTGAAAGTGTTATGACAGGGCCTGGCCTGCTTTTCCTCCGTGCCAGACGGCAATCTGGCAGGCCTGCCTTGGCACATCTCTGGGGTGCGAACAGCAGGGCCCGTTCCCCATGGGCTTTTTGCAGGCAGCCAAGCTTGGAAACAGACCTTTCCATACCAGTTGGTCTCAGCACCTGGAAATGTGACTGAGCATTTTTAATTTAATAGCATAGAATCCCCGAGAACTGTGATAACAATGACCTTAAAAAGGAGCAAAGGTTCTAGACAAGATTATCCCTAGGATAAAGCATTAAATCTGGGGAACTTGGGTGATGGACTACCTGTAGTTGTGTTAGACTGACAGCACTGGAGTTGTAATTTAATGTTTGTTTTGTTTTTTTTTTTTTTTTTCAAAAAAAAACCCCTCACTTTTTGGTCCTTTGATGCTTTTATAGGGCTGGGGAGCAGAGTATCATCGCCAAGATGTTACAAGCACACCCTGCTGGATTGAGATCCACCTGCATGGACCATTGCAATGGCTGGATAAGGTGCTGACACAGATGGGTTCACCTCATAACCCCATCTCCTCAGTCTCTTAAGAATCATCTCTAGAATTCCCTTAGGATGGATGCTATTGCAGGCAGTGGCTTATAGGATTTCCAGTGAACAGAAGCTTCTATATGTAGATGTATGTAGATGTAAATATATCTATACATGGTCTACTCGCCTTTTTTTTTTTTTTTCATGCTACGTTTTGTGGTTTCTAGTTACTCTGATGCCAGTACAATAAGTTTAGAAATTCAGGTATAGCGTATCTGTTCTCTAGTACAAAATAAGCCAAATTCCTGCAAAAGTGTCAAACATTTCCTGTGAGCATCTTCATTCCCCAGCCAAGCCAGTAAATGGTGCGAATTCTCAGCACTTTCATGTGGATTCAGAAACCTGGCTGTAGCTGTTCCTAGTAGGTGAAATTCACCCCTCTGCAGGCAACCAAAGTCAGATCTCTACACCATTTATATCCATTTCACATCCTAATTTCAGGTCTAAAAGAGGACCTTAGGTGGTGCACAGGACTTATGCATAGAGGTGACTTTTATCCAGTGAACTGGAGGACTAAACTGCAATTCCAGTCTGTCTCCTTACTGCAAAGCACGATGGAAGAACAGATCCTCTGAGGAGCTGAGGCACCCCTGTCTCCCCTAGGATTTGGCAGGAAGAAAGAGCCCTCAGGACACGTTCAGCACTGGAGCCCTGTCAGAGCATTTGGGACTGGGACACATCCGAGTAGTCTGATACTGTTAACACAGTAGTGTACGGTACTGCTGCACTGAAATGCAACAAGCTCCTAAGACAAAAAAAAAAAAAAAAAAAAAAAAGAAAATTTGAAATATATGCCTATAAGTTTAAAAACTAATTAACTTCCAGTGCTTTTTTGCAAAGTACATACATACTTGCATATGTATCCGGCATGTAAACTGAATCCTATCCATTATACAGTATTGATGTAGTTTGTTTTAAAGTTAGGACTGTCTGTAGTTAGACTACTGTGCTGATATCGAGGGTACGTCTAAAAGGGACTTGAACTGTGATTCAGAAAAGGGAAATGAAGTGTGCATTGATGAACTGAATAATTCCTTTCTGCTTTATCTTGGGCTAGTCTCTGTACTGGCAACAGGAAGCCCCACGCTCACAGGGTCCAGTGAGAGGGAGCGGGCAATCAGCCGTGCCCAGCCCCTGTCCTCAGGACCTGTCTGAAACGCTCAGGTCTGACAGTGAGAGCTTCCCTGCCAGTCACTTCGTGCATCCCTGGGGGTAGTTTCTCACCTTAGATACAGGCTTCATCATTTGCAGCACGTTTGCCTTGCCGGCACTGTGGGATGGTGAGGCAGAGTAACCCATGAACAAGCAAAGAGTGAATATGTGCAGAACCTTTTTTAAAAGCTCCTTGTCCGCGGTCCTTCTGTAAGCAGGGAAACGTACTGCCCGTACTCTTAACCACAGACCCAGCCTCACAAAATGCTGTTCGCTTGGTAGCTTTTTCTGAGCAGGCAGGTGAAACTCTTTCTGCATTTTGATTGTCCCCATTACCTTGCTGAAAGGGTAGAGGATTGTTTCTTTCCAGGCATAACAGTCCTCTGAAAATTGTTCTGCTTTAAGGGTCAGAAAGAGTGATAATTTCTCCAATCTCATTCCTCCTTAGAAAAAAACAGAAGTATCCTGAGGGAGAAAAAAAAAAAAAGTTTCACAGAAAGTTTCTTTTTTCTTCTCACACAGTGTCTGGTGCTACACATTTAATTGCATAATTAGAAGAGGATGCCTGAAATCTTCAGCTACATCACACGTGCAAAGGAAATAACATTCACTGAAAAGCCTTTCCATGTGTTTTAGAAGCTTTGTAATACCTGTTATCAGGTGGTAATTATGAACAGAGCAGAAGAATCAGTAAACTAGCAGGGTCACTCCATTTGAATGCATCTTCAGCTGCCTGCAGAGTTTTTAGGGCACAGAAGGATAAATTACTGATAACTGTCAGCAGTAATAGCAAGTTGTATAGGAAACTTGTAAATGCAAAGAACCCTATTTTGTCACCATTTGATGTCGGCAGTGTCACTGTGAGATAGGAAAAGCTTTACAGTCTCCTGCAGCAATGAAATCCAATAGTAATACTACACAGAAATTCCAGGAGTGCCATTTACTGTTTAGCAGATTTGGGAGAGATCAGTTTGGAAAAAGACATTTTCCTCAGCTCCCTCTGTCATCAGTGTCACTGTATCAAGGTACTGGTAACGTGGGTTTTAGCATGTTCATTGCACCCTTTCTCTGTAATTTCTCTGTGCTTTTCATGTTGCTCATCTCTTTGCTTTCTTAGCAGCTAAGAACAGAGAAAATCACCTCTCCTGCCCAGGATCTAGCTCTGTCTTTTATCCTAGATTCTTCCTCACCTTTTAGGCTGAAACCTCCTTCCCTCCTAATGTACAGAGAAGGCTAGAGGTTGCTTTTAGACATCCCCAGCATTGTCACCTTCCTCGCAGAGAGCAAAGGGCGACGTTCTGAAGGGCATCTGCTCTTGGGCAGCTCCAGAACCCAGTTTCCTGCCAGTGCTGCAGAGGACAGTTGGATGGCCAGTGAAGAGAAGCAGGTTCTTCTGGGGCATCATTTGTTTCACCATAAGGCAGGTATTTCAAGTAGGTGAAATACACTGTGCTCTGAACATTGAGTAAAAGGGAAACTTGAGGTCACTAGATCAAATGTGGACTGCTACATTGGACGTACCCAAAAGGAGGTGAGGTGCGCCCTAGGGAAGATGTGGTGGCTTTCTCAGCCTAGTAATGATGTCTTGCTCAATAAGTGTCTGTGTTGTTTAAATGGGAGTTGGTAAACTCAGAGCAGTTTTTCTTTCCCTATATGTCTGCTTTTATAATAATCCTCATACAAATAGGATTTGGCTTCAGTGCAGTCCACACGTGCATCTTATTAAAGGTAGTCACCTTAATACTCCCTCACTGGTAAATAAAGAGGAATTTCTGGAGCATGATTCTTATGACCCGTTTAAAATGCCTGCTGTTATCATGAGATGAATTTCAGCAAATGTAACTATTTTCTGAAAGTTGGATTGAAGCATCTGGGCAATCAAAGCCAACAGCCATCTCAGAGTTGTTAGCCTTTGGGAGGGCTGGTATCACTGTGTGAACTATTTCCTATTTTGGTGGCCTCTACAGGCTGTAGATGCTGTGCAAACGCACAGAAGCTCCTTCCCAAGAGAAGGGGAGAGCTCACATCATAAGGTATAAGTGGAAACAGTGGACGAGTCAAGCAAGTAAATAGGAAGATGACCCCTGTCCAGATGCAATGATAAAAAGTAAGGCTAATAAACCATTTATTTTCCTTTCTTTTTGAACAAGGCCTCTTTTATAGGCTTCCCTAGTTTATGTGAATTGAGCTCAGTTAAAAATTCAGATTTCTCATAATTTACAGCAATTAACTTTGTATCTCACTAATGTTTTCCCATTTTGGAAGGAGATAGTTTCTGCTGAAAGGTCTTCATGAACCTATCAACCTGTAGTCAATTTAAAGCCTTTAAATGTACTCATTAATACTCAGGCTCTGGAGATGGGCTTCCTGAGAGATTTAAAACCACTTACAGGGGGACTACTTAGTTGAAGGCAGACTTTTAAAAATGTTTTTTGAGCCATCAGCAGTTCAGACCCTCTTGAAATTTTCTGTGGAGAAGTACCGTGCATCAGCAAGCAGCTGCAGGAGCTGCAGGATCAGGCAGAAGCATAAAGCACATTCCTCATGGTATGTAGACCACTTGTGTTCCTATTAAGGGGTCGGGAGAAGACAACTGCTTCCTTGCTGCCAGTTCTTCAGCAGCACCAGTAAAAATGTGCCATCTGCATCCAGGGGTGACGGAAGCAAATTCAGCACACTGACTGCGTGGAGACAGTGGCACTGCTGCTCTGATGGCTCAGTCCCATAACCTTGCACTGTAGCTGCTGGTTGGGTACGGTGTAGCAGTGGCTGCAGTGTTCAGTAGCTTTGCCTCCCCGTCAGAGGCTACGCCACGAGCATCTGTTTACTCCTCTTGAGACTTTCATGTGTTGCTGTGCTCAGGCTGAAGGATAATGTATCAACAACATGAAGGGGAACTGGGGCTCCAGGTAATGTCAACTGGAGTTGAGGAAATTCCTCATGTGTCTCCAGCAGGTACTCTGTCAAGACATTTACCACCCTGAGCAGCCTTCTCCAAGTGGTCCCTGCCTTGAGCAGGGTGGCAGGCTTGATGCCCTGCAGAGAACCATTCCAATTTATGTTATTCTGTGGGTCTGGGCAGAGATTCAGTGGTAACTGCTTGCCACAAGCAGGACCTCTCTGTTAGCAGAGAGTTTCAGGATGAAGCATGTTTATCCTCAGCTAGTTCTGCAAGAGTTCACTGCAGACCACAGTTACAAGGTATGAATGTTCCCACAGCATAAAATCAACACTGCAAACATCTCTCGCTGTAAACATCATCTCCACTGCACAACCCTTAAAATGGAGAAAATCAAGCATTTTTGACTGTAACTTAATCTATTCTGCCCTTTTCTTCCTGGCTAACACTCACCTTTGCCTTTAAGCTCTAAGAATCAGAAAGTCTCACCAGTGGCCAAGGAGTTGCACAAGCAGCTGGATTTACAGAGGCAGCTCAGGCAGAGCCTGTTTGCTTCTTGGATGGCTGGAAACAATTTATAAAGAAGCTTGATTGAATTTAATAACTAGGAAGGGGTCTCGAATATAAATCCAATTTTTGTGGCTCAGTAGAGGCTTCTCTGGTGCACCTGCAGCTTTCAGGAGCATTTGAGCACTAAACAGTGCTCAGCACAAGAAAGAAACGTTACATCCTCTGTACTATTCACCTCTTCCCTTGGCTCCCCATAACCTAACTTAGTAAAACCAAACCAAACACAATAAAAAGAGATTAATGAGTCATAGGGTAGAGTAATTAAATACCATTTTTTAAAGTTGAGAGTGTAGATTTATATAATCAGAAATGTACCAACCATAACATGTCTCATGCGCTCTTCAAGCCAAAGGCAAGAGCTCCTGGCTCTGGAGAAGCCTGGGGAGCAGGATGTAACTTGAACATCTGAACTCAAGCCCTTCCAGGTGGGTGGAAACCCCACTGAAGGGGCTGAGAAGGTTTTTGCAGAGGACTTACAGTTTATGGTTGGCTTTGAAGAACTGAGAGGTTGAAGGGACTGGGGAGGAGGGAGCATATGACCAGACATGCTCAGTGGGCATTGCTGGAGGTATCAAGGCAGTATGTGCTTGGGCAGCCACTGGTGTTCACTAGAGTTTTTTATACTCACATCTAAACTAATCATCAAAACCTCTTTCAGAAGCAGCTTGGAGTACCACAGTCCTTGATCCGGTGCTTCCTATACACACAGCCTGGCTGAGCGTGCCGGCCTCCTGATTAATCCATTAGGTATGTTGGGGCAAGTGGTGTCCTGTGGGATCAGGGGGTAGGCTCTGGTTGCACCGGGGTACTGCACTTGCAAGATGATGCTCTGCCTTGCTGCAGGACTAATGGGGAGTTCAGCTTTGGGGCAACTATTCAAGGACAGTATAAGCACACTCAGTATGTGCTCCTTGAAGAAAAACACAGTCTGAAACAGGAACTGCACAACTGCAAGACTCAGATTATATAGAGCGACTACCTGGGAATTGCAATAAAGCAACTCACTACATGCGTAGGTGGGAAATTGCGGTGCCCAAAGGAAGATGGAATCAGCAGGAGCCTTCACAGGGACTTCTGACTATGAAATCACATTTTTAACAAGAGCCAGTAATAGACAAGTGTGCTTACCTGAGAGTGAGTAGGTCAGGTCACCATCAAAAAGAAGCCTGATAGAGTTGGTCCCATCTTGCAATGGGGAGAGAGATCATGTGAGACTTTAGATGCGTGAATAAAAAGCTTCTCGACCTGGAGGCTTCATTGCAGTTACTGGAACAGGGCTTCTTCCTAATGACAGCTCTGGGAGTACCTTTCTGCCGGTACAGAAAGCCCGAGGGGGCGTTTAGTGTTTGTTCAGCAGAGGGAAATTGCTTTGTGTCTGTAGTGCAGACGGACACTTCTGCATGCTGTGCACCAGCACAAAGCACAGCCTCTGGTTTGTACTGATCACCTGCTCGTAGGAAGCTCCGGAGTGGCCAGGAGCAGCCAGAATCACCTGCTCGCCCTCGGGCTCTCCAGGCAGCTCACCCAGGCGTGCCTTGTGGTGTATTGCCGTGCCGATGCCCCGCTTTCCTGCCAGGGAGGTGAGGCGTGTGAGAGTCCAAGCAAGAGGATGCTGCCACTTGCACCTGGGCCATGCTTGCAAACGTGGTGCCTGTACAGACAGCAAATCTCATTTGCAGGCCATGTCTCTTATGCAAGATAAACGTAACCACTACGTCCTCCAGTCAGCTACTCTTCCATTATAGCCAATGTGAACATTTGCAGCTAATTGTGAACGGTTTTTAGATCTTCAGTCGTAGTGTTTTTATTATCCATGGATGCTGCTATTTTATATTCCGTGTTAGTATTCAAATAATATTGCATATGAATAGCATAGGAAGAAATAGACCAACCAGTTAATAATTTTAAATACAGACCTCATCAGCAAAGAAAAGCTAGAAAAAACTTGGTGAAGTCTGACCCCTTGCACTTTCACCGTAGTGAGCACATCATGTTTCCAAGTGTTTTTTTGATGCTAAAGTGTGTGTTAAATCTTATTAATTCAGTTATGTCCATGAGAAGCTTTGCAAACAAGAGAGCAAGGGAACAAACATAATGATGAGCAGAGATAATGCACATTCAGATAAAATCTCTTCACTTACCGAAGCAATTGGAGTGTTTAATTATTTATACTACTTCTTAAGTTAAAATGTACCACAGCATACTTTCTGCAGATGAATCAGTGTTAGCAATTTAATCCCTCATTTCAGTATCACCTTTGCGATATAAACGGGGCTGAGAAGTGAGACAGGAAAGTGAAAAAACAAGCCTTTTTGTGTGGATCAACGAAGCCATAAGGTTGCAAAGTTCTATGCAGTCAAGGGGCCAAAATGGTGGATTCAAGCAAGGTGGGTTTTTTGTGTTAAGTACAAGCTATGTCTTGTGCAGAAAAGCACCAGGAGTCATACACAGATTTAATAGTGTCACTTCAGTCTGTGAACAGTTCTGCCCTCTGTTTTCCATCAGAATCAAAGCAAAACGTCTGCACTATCCAAAATAAAGTATTATTCACAGTGTTATTCTGTAAAACGGTGCAGATCGCTCTATAAAGAGCATTACTTGGACTCTTGCCTCTTGAGGAATGAAAACTCTCAGACATGCTTGGTTTCAGGAGCCTGAGATCAGGGCAGCTCGGTCTTCTGATCAGCCCCAGTATTCTATCCCACGCCCTGTCATCTCAAGAAAGAGGTAACAACTGCTAATCAAGTGGACATTTTCACAAGTGTTCCTCCTGCTGCATTTGATTTGAGGCATTCTGAAGTCGACATATTTAGTCTGATGTTTGAACAATACACTTTTTAACACACTCCATTTTCTTTGGCTGGAATTATTCTATTGTAAAAGGGATTATTCACGTCTTGTGTTTTACTGTTAATAAAGATATTTCTGATTTAAGAGCTCTTGCCCTTGTCATCTCCCCTTTTTCCCTTTGAAAGGGATTGGCCCTGGAAAGCTGTAAGGTCCCAGTCTGATCACCAGCAACTTTGGGAACCAGGGCATTTAGAAAGCCTTTATTTACAGAAGTCAGTCTTAGGCAAGAGGAATCTGTGAATTCACTGGGTAATGGGATGAACCAACACTTCCAGCAGAATGGGATGCTAGACACTATAAAATGGATTGAAAATTAATCCGGCATAAAATCTGCATGTTATAAAGTACATGCAACCCTTTTCGTCCTGTGGCAATTTTAAGATTCGAGAAGATGGTTCTGCTTTCTTTGGAAGGAGGCAGCCCTGAGCTGACGGACAGTGTACGAGCAGTGATGCTGCCCTAGGACAGCAGCCCTCGCTGTGGGCCACACTGACATTAGTGAGAAGACAAATTTGCCACTGTGCAGGTTTCAGGCTGCCCGAGGAAAAAAGATACAGTAAGAAGGTGCCGTTACAAGAATCGGGTTTTAATGTTCTTAAAATTCAGATTTTGTTCTGCAAGAACAGAAGCAAGAGAGAACATCCTCACCTTGGGGTGGGTCACGCAGACCCCGCTGTGTGCACGGGTGGCCGGGGAACCCCGCCCCGGCCCCGGGCCACCTCCTGCTCCCCGCCAGCCTGCCGGGCACCGGCACCGCGGCCCACCACAACCGGAGGGCAGGCGAGCTGCACCCCGGGCACGTCCTCAGCAAGCATCGCTCGTTTTGAGGTAGCTGACTCATCCAGCACTGCCTTCAACATTTCCTGTGCCCTTTTTCTACCATGAGGGTTTGGTTTTAAAAAAAGTTTGATCAGCTCATCTCACCTAAATGCTTTCCTAAGATGACGGTTTTAAACAAAAGCAAATACCTTATTCTACAATTTCAGCGCATGATGCTTTCACATATATTCTGACACACTGAAAAGAGTAGTCCGATTGTACTTAAAGCTAAAATAGCTTCTTATAATAAGAGCCTTGGAACACAAGAGTTTGAATGCCACCTAGTCAGAGCTAGCCAATTTAGTAAAGAAAAAAAAACAAACACACAAATTCAACAGAACAAAAATGAAGAGGCTTTGGGTTTGTTTTTTAAATAAAAAGATTTTACTCAAACACTGGTCCAGAACAGTTGATACAAAGCTTTTCATTTACTTTTTGAAAGAACAACCTGGACAATGCTAAATACAATAAATTCTTACCAAACAAGTTCTATACATACACAAAGCACAGCTTGTAAAAATTCACCAGACTAACAAATACTTCCGAAGAGAGACTATTTAGCAAATCAAACTGTTGCAATATCAAAGTAGTATTTTTGGTAAGCACCTACGCCATTCAGATAAACTCTATTCAGAAGTATGTTTTAATACAAAACTTTGTTTTAACAACAATACGTGGGATTTAACACTACATAATACAGTGTTTGGATTCTTAACCCAATCAACTGCAAGCTCATCTGAACTGGCTGAAAACCTAAGAAGTCTAGCACTCGAGCTGATTACATATCAGTTGTCTTAATAGAAGAATTCTAACTATACCTTTTTTTTTGTAAGAAAAATACTACACAAAGGAAAAAAAATGCACAATTACATCTTAGTTTTTGGATGTATTTGCTATTATGAGTTAAAAGCTTTAAAATTTAATATAGTCACTTAAAAAATGAGTGATATTGTCATCTGTAATTAAGTTATATTTAATGTAAAAGACGTTGGTCCTTACAAATAACTTCACAAAACAAAGTCCAACTCTCAGTTGCATACGTTTCACCTAATTCTTCTCTAAAGCTTTCTGCCATTTCTCTTTTGGAACTTTTAAACAGAAATTCTTTTACATGTTTGCACACACAATGAAGCACTTCAAACCTACTCAACTTGCAGATAATGAATATATAGCTGGAGAATCACCTGATTTTCATTTTTTCTGAGCCACTAGATCCAACTTTTTGATAGCATGTTGTCTTTGCCTTTAGTGCAAGATTCTACTGCGCATAAGTTTCTCACATCCCTGAGCAACTGCTATTAGGTCATGACACTGGACTGGCTCAAATTCAGGACTTTATTTCACAACTTCCATAGAAAGTAACTGACTGACTTCAATGATTGTCATCAAAGAGTGACTTGTTTAACAGTAAATCCTTATATAGAAAAATGTTAATTTAGTGGAAGACTTTGGTAGGAAAAGGGTGTACAGCTAAACAATACTAATATAAACACATTTCTATTAAAAAATTAAACATTAAAATGAAATTTTTAAAATAATAAAAAAAATAGACTCCTCCAGATTTGCTCACAAGTTTGCAGACACCCGAGCAGCTCAAAACCTCAAAAGTGCAAACAAGTAAAACGCGTAACAGCAGCAACTTTACTTTTCCTTTAAACATCGAGATTCTTTGTATTTATATAAAACACACATCCCATTCCTCCTCCAGCACCAGATTCATCTGCAGGTCACTGATGTGTTCTGATTACCCAGGTGCTCCTTGAAACTGTTGCTGCCTTTGCTCCAAAGCCTGCTGACTTAACAGCTGCTGTTGCTTCTGTAGAAACTGCACTACTTCTGGACTTCGGAGTAGGGACTGCAAGAAGAGAAAGCAGACTTTAAAGAGCTCACATACATTAAATAGCCACCAGATTGATTATATTATAATATTTTTCCCATTAAATCAATTTGCACATTACCCACTCTTGCGGTTTAGCCCCAGCAGGCAACTAAGCATCACACAGCCTCTTGATCACTTCCCCACCAGTGGGATGAAGCACTGTGCAGCAATGACTAAAACATCGCTACGTTATCACCACTGTTTCCATCATAAACCCAAAACGCAGTCCCATACAAGCTACTGTGAAGAAAATTAACTGTATACCAGCACAAACCAGTACATCCACATGAGAGTTCAACTAAATGCTGAAGAAGTACAAAACGTGCTTACAAAAAACCATCTAGATAGAAACTGTTTCAGGACATCAGCAGGTAACCAGAAGCAGCATTAATACATATCCTGAAAGCAGATTCATTATGTAAAGAATATATAATATTGCAAAAAAAAACATAAAGATAGCAAACAGGAATAATCTACCAACGTATTGAAAACAAACACTTTTCAACTGTGCTTCAGTTTTGAGCCAATTTTTACATTTCCCACTGCAGATAGCTCAAAAATACTATAATAAATAAATAAAATACTGTAATTCTACAAAAATTACTCTACAGAGTTCAAACATCTGGACAATGCTCTTAGTCACACGGTTTAGTTTTAGGAAGCCCTGTGATCAGGGAGCTGGACTCAACGATCCTTACGGGTCCCTTCCAGCACGAGATACTCTATGATTCTATGCTCACTGAGTGTTCAATAATTTCCCAACATTTCAAAACAGCAGTCCAGACAGAAGGAATGAGTTAAAAACACCCCTCTGCCTCCAGTCAAAAGACAGAAGTATCTAAAACTAACTGCATCTGGCTCCTGGCCTGAGCAGTCGCAGTCTGTGATCCGACCCTGGTTGTTCACTCTCATTCTTGCATGATGGCAGCAAAAGTGTTTGTAAAGTCCAATGGCAAATCAGGCTAGGAATGGATCCTTCCAAAAATTAATGCAGGAAAAAGGTTATTTTTTCAGCTGAATTAATTCCCTAGACTGCTTGCTCATTATGCATGGTCGCTTCACCGATGCAACCAAGGAGGTAATGCAACTCCTAATACAGATTTACATTCAAAAGGTCCAGCAACTTCCAGGGCAGGGTCTAGAACTTTATGCTATTAGGGGCAATTCTGCAGAGATTATACTTAAAAACAACCATTCTGCATATAGCTCACGCCTCCAGCAGCACCGAACAGCTAAAATTAGCTAATCAGCCACTGGAAGCGGTTACTAATAACAAACAGGCTCACTGAACAGATGTGCAGCCACCTTTTCCTTACCATACATTAGCTTTATCAAGTCACTTCACTGCACAAGGTAGTTCTGCAGCAAGTAGCTCTTTATCTCCTGCTGTTTTATGACACAAAGGTGCTTCAGGCTCTCCATCCACACACAGCTTGCTGCTTCCCAGCCCTTACCTCTGCTTTCTGCATCTTTATCTAGTGGAAGCTGCACATCCAGGCGCACAGGGGCCACCACAAAAGCCTCTCCTCACAGAGACTAACCACATGCAAGAAACTTAAGAGCAAGCACAAATGACTTGGCACTTTTAAGCAATAAACCTGCAGGCAGCTACCAGTGCCATGCAGTCACTTTCATGTGCAGAAATGTCAGGTATGGAACAACCTCGGATGCAACAGGCCATGAGAGATCTTTCTGGGTTCACCACATAACTCTCAGTCCTTGTGTTGTGTAAATAGGCAAAAAACAAAGAAGAAATTCTAGAAGAAATAATGCTGACTGAGAGAAACCGAGTCAGAGCAGAGAGAAAGAGAAAAGCAAGAACCAAATCAAGGAGACTCTAAATCTCACTTTGCCAGAACACTGCAAGGAAATGTCAATTCTCCAAGAGGCTTGACATAGCACTGCAGAAGCTCTCAACATCTACTTAAACAGTTTCTGTTTGCTGTGTTTCCAGAAAAAAAAATAATGTTTCATCAATAAGATACCTTTCAAACTTAATTAAAAGCCAAATAAATAGCAACAGCTAGAAAAGGGGACAACAATTCAGTAAATGGGGCATGAAGAACAGATAATGTAAAAAACAAACTCCATAGTTCATTACTTTTTCTTGTAAAAACTGAAGACCTGCAGATACTCCTTTGAGTTTTAGACATAATCATTAAATAGGTGATACTAATGAAAAATAATTCAATTAAATAGATCTATATAGCTGTATACTTAAGATTGATACAATATTTCTTTGAAGTCTTTTCAAATTTCTGAACAAGCACAACACCACTTTAATGAGGACTGTTGAATTGCTTTGCACAGCTAACAGAGAGAACTGGCAAACAATCCCATCAGCTTCTGGAGAAAGGAGACTGTAAAAACCAGTAACACAGAAAGCTGTAATGAAGAAGCTGAAGGAACAGTAAGTACTGAAGTATTTCCCTTCATTTGGCTTAATTCTTTAAATATACTTAAAGGAGAAACAGAAGTGTTTAAAAACTTACAACACATGCCATTCACACAGTCTACAAATATTACAAGTCATACTGTTCGCTTACAGTTTGCTTCATCAACAAATACATATGAAATTTTAAGTGTGATATGATAGGTCTGCAACTTTTAAAAGACTACAGTAATTAAAGCTTACATCAAGCCTAAAGTCCACGCATCTAAAGCTTTACAGAAAAGTTGGTCCAACAAATTAAAAACATCTCAGTTATACTACAAGCACTATTTACCCTAAAGAAATAACCAGGTCTATTTAGTACTACCAAAATACTCAACTTCAGTTAATGTGGCAGCGATTATTAAATTCAGCCATCTTAATGTGCTTCACACAGAGTCTGAAACACACATCTGCTCTGCCACGTATTTCAGTTGTGAATATATGCACATGTAGTATATGATCATTAAACTGATCTTCATCTTTCTCAAGGGTGATAGTTGAAGATTGTTCCACTGCCTTTATTTATTTGAGTTCAAAACCTCTAAGAAAACAAAACTTACCAGCCTCTTTTTATTCAATACTTGTTCTAAAAGAGTAGGTCTTGCTGGGCGATCTCCAATGGATCCTGTTCTCTGTTTTGTAACTGAAACTGAACCTTCAACACTATCCTGCACATGAAAGAAAGTAAAAAATAACTAAGAAGTGAGACTATAAACCCTGATATAATGATATTTACTTTTCAGCACAGAAAGTCCCAAGAGTAAAGAATATTTGCCTCATTAATCTGCAAAGGAAAATAACAGCACAAAAATGGAAACGTATTTATTCAAGAATTGGCCCCTTTCCACATTATTTTCACTCTTTCATCAGTTACAGTGAAACAATGCAGCTGACTTAGTCTTCTAAATTGCAAAACTCACCCAGTTACTCTTGTTAGTCAATGGCTTGAATTTATTTGATCACATTTCTTAAAAATCAAGTCATTCACAACAGCTCAATCTCCAGCTTGTGGAAGTGAATGATATTTAACACTTGCAGTTTAGTAGGAATGACAGTAATACTTTTAATAGCAAGACAGAACATACATCAGAATACTATTATGAACTTGTCAAAGCCACAAGCAGGAGACAGTAAAATCTACATTATTTTTTTCTTTGTAAGTTTATCCTGTTCCTTGTACAATCACCAGTCATATGAATTAGACTGTCTTCTAAACAATGTGGCTCTACAGTCTGCTGTAGAGAAAATATACGTGGTTTGGAAAATTTCAACTAATGTTGAATCTTATATGTATTAAATTCACAACTTACTGACACTTCCATTTACCTGAAAGGGTTTAAGAAACAACAACAAAGTATCCCAGTATCTTTTGCTTCAATCCTGTCCACAGGAGTGAAAAATGAAACTTCCAATAGAAATCTAACTCTGACCCCAGTGACAACAGTGTCTTGAGGGGCCTCAATAGATACCACTGCAAAAAAAACCCACATTAAGTTTAGCACTAAACATCCTGCTTTCTTCTGCAAATTCAGGCCTTAATTTCATAACATTCAAAGCAACCTGCACTTGCAAAAAAAAATGGGAGAAGCAAGCCTACTCTCTTCCAACACGCAATAACCACTTTTTCATGTTACAGTTCAAAAAGTTTTAACCCACCCCTACATGAAATGCAGCAATTTTGCCCTTCTGCCATACTGTCCCCTTTTCTGAACTAGCACAAGTATTTGTGTAGACACATCCTGAACTGAGCATGATGAATTATTATAAAAGGAAGAGAGGGGAAACCATGCCAGTATATAAATCTAGAATTCACCCACATCTTGAATACTGTGTGCAGTTACTGTTCTTTCATCCAAAAGAGAAGTAGCTACTAGAACTAGAGAAGGGTCACAGAATGGCAACAAGGATAAAAGTAGGTAACTTTTTACTCTGAAACAAGCACACTACTCCTTTTCACAGTGGGAAGGAAACAACTTTTGACAGTAACTTGGTAGGCTTGTCTCCAAACTGAACAGGAATTAGTTGTTCACTGTATCTTCTAATGTAAACACTAACTGGCAAACTAAGTTAACAGCAGCCAAGTTTGAAAACAAGGAGATAATTCAAACAAAGTAGCAGGCCAGAAGAAACTATCACAATGCAAGGGATGCTGAGAGTTTACAACCGTCCAACAAGAATCAAAAAAAGTAGATAGAACATGTATCACTTAAGAGTTACAAAATATATCAGAAAACCCACACCTATCTCAGCAAGTTCTCTGAGTTGAGGGAGAAAGAAGCTGGGAGAATATTCCCTAGCAGCATCACATGCACGTGCCTTTTTCTTATGCACCTGCTTCACGGCAGCTTTTACAGCTAGACAAAAAAAGGTCCTTTGGTGCAACACCCAGTTTGTTTACTATTATATTTATATGAAGAAAAACAGAAAAAGGATAAGTTTTTGATGGTTAGTTTGCAGTAAGATCAGTTCCCAGTCACACAACTCCAGAGACAGCTGTGCTGACAAAATAAAAGCAACTGCTTTTAGTAGGAGTGCCAGGTGAAGACTTTTTTCTTCTGCCAATCACTATTTTATACTTGTCCCTTCAAGCACAAACTAGGCAGCACCTTCAAAAGTAAAACCATTTCGCTCTTTCTAGATCTTCTAAATACAAGATCTGAAACACTACCTCAGGACAAGCAGCCACCAGGAACTGTATTACCTTGGCTGAGTCAGAAACTGTAGAAAAAAAAAAGTCTAAGAAGTTGAATGTCAGCATCAGTTCTCCCAATGACAATATTTCCCCACCAAAACAATGCATTTAATTTTAGGAAAGGAAGTAGGAACCATCAGTGGTCTAAATATTTAACTGCCATTTAGTATCAAAAGAAGGAATCAACAAGAACACTGAAGAATCTACACAACTGTTTTCTATATACAATATAATCTGGTAACCAACAGCCTTTCTGACTTTGAAATCAGCTGGGCAAGACAACCGACACCTCCCTTAGATCTATACTTTCATCTTTCCTCCTGTGCAATAAGCACACGCGACAGAACGAGCCATCTGTCAGCAAGAATTTTGTTCCTGGAATCTTCTGGTATAGTCGTAAGTCGGTACAATTTATATCAGAGAAGAGAAAAATAAAGGGGGCTCGCTCTGGCACCATGGAAGAGCGAGCTCTCGGGCTGTCCGAAGTTTTCTCCCTCTTCCTCTGGGGAGAACGGTCCCACTCCGCCTGACAGACACCGATTTTCCCGGGGAAGCCCCCGCTCCGGGGGGTGCCCGCGGCAGCCGGGCTGCCCACCGACTCCACCACGGGAGGAGGCCCCGGCTGAGGCGCCCCCCGCCCCCCCCGGTGCCTCACCTCGGCCCGCGGGCCGCCCCCCGCCGCGGCCGCCGCCCCGCCGCCGCCCCCCAGGGCCTGGTCGCTCTTCTTGCGCTTGTACTTGTCTTTGTAAATCTTGTTGCGGTGGCGCTTGCACATCCAGGGCTTGCGCTGCTTCACCACCTGCGTGGTGGTCTCGCTGCAGCCCTGGTAGGTGCAGCTCTTGCAGCCGCCGCCCGCCGCCGCCGCCGCTTCGCCGCTCGAAACCGCCGCCGCCGCCTCCTCCTCCTCCAGCTCCTCCAAGCTAGCTGTGCTCTCGCCGCCCGCCGCCTCGGCCTCGGCCTCCTCCCCCGCCTCGGCCTCGCCGTCGCCCCCCAACTCGTAGAATAACATGATCCCGCCGCTACCGGAGGGCGGCAGCGGCGGGTCGGAGCCCGGAAGCGGCGGCAGCACCACCCCCCCCGCCGCCGCCGCCGCCGCCTCTTCGCCGCCGCCGCACGGCTGCATCACGAGCAGCGCCAGCTGCGGCGGCGAGGAGGAGGAGGAGGAGGAGGAGGAGGAGGAGGAGGAGGAGGAGGAGGAGGAGGAGGAGGAGGAGGAGGAGGAGGAGGAGGAGGCGGAACGGCGGCCGAGCTGAGGCCGGTCACCAGGCCCACCGTGCTCCCGCCCCGCCCGCCGCGCGCAGGCGCCGCCGCCGCCCCGCGCTCAACCGCGCGTGTGCCCGCGGGGCCGCGCACGCGCCCCAGCGCCCCCGCTGGAGGGGTGGCGGCCCGCGCGCGCCCGCGCCATTTTGGCGGCGGAGGGGAAGGGGGCGGGACCCCGTCCTGGCGGCGCGGGTGGCTGGGCCCGCGGTTGTGAGGTGGAAGCCCTCACGCCTTCCCAAGCGCAGGGAACCTCCTTGTGGCGGCGTCGGAGTTAGCGGTGCGGTTTGGCCCCCCCCTCGGCCTGCTCAGCCCCCCTGTCATACTGCCTTTCCCCTCATGGCTGTCGAGACTAAAACTGTGCCGCCACTGATCTTCACAGGTGCCGGGGGCAGCCTGGTCTCTCCTTCTAGCAGCAAGGACGTGCTCAACTTGGCGTCTCGTAATTTGCATACTCTGTAAGCAAACTGTTACACCCCTGGGGCTAAGGACGATTTCTTCCAGGAGGGCTGGTTTCTTAACTAGAGATAAGCATGTGCTATAGAAACAGGAGTAGAAGTCGTTAAGGAGAAGAATGCTGTGAGCTAGCAGAAAATTAACTGCAGAAAAAGTCAAGCTGACCTTAGACGTTAGCCAATCATGAGCTCAACTTTTGTAATATGTATTAGGTGATTAACCATTGTGCCAATCAGCTTAAAACACGTGTCTCTCTTTGTCTGTTTGGAATATAAAATCGGTTGTTGTGTTCAATAAAGTAGATCCTGACTTGCATCGAGCTGGGTCTCCGTCTCCCAATCGCGGCACACAGGCACCTTCCCCGAGCTGTGCTGGTGTCTTTGCTCTCCAGCCACTGTCTGCTGGAAAGTGGGGACGCTGGGGTGCGGTTTGGCTTCTTCTTCCACTTAGCTTTTTTATTGCCTTCAGCCTGCTATTGCCCTTGCAGCTTTCAGCTCACTGTTCCTCGCCCTTCATTTGGGTATTGATCCTCCCGTTGGCTCACTTCTACGTGGCCCTTTGGACACTCCCTATTACAAGGTTCACCCAAGCAGCTAAGACCATCTTCACCCAATCCGTACCATTACAAATAATTATTCCCCAGTAAGCATCTTTATTCTGCAATGTAAATGAATGCAGCATCTGTGATTTTAGCCATTGTTTCACTCCTCAATCCAGTCCTTTCTTCTGCAAAAGTCTTAGCTTTTATTCCAAGAAAAAAATATTACTTGTAATGAAACTATCATGCCTACCTTCGGTTTTCTTCCTACTTCCTCCTGGGTCACAGCCACAGGATTTTCCTCATTCCTGCAGAGAAGTCCCACTGACCTCCATCTTCTTGATCACCTGCTGTTTGCCCACCTTCATTTTTCTTACCTCCTTACTCTCCATGGATTCTTGCCTTTCTCATTGCATATGTCAGTTCATCCCATACTAAAGAATGGTGCTGACCCCATTTGTTCTCTGGCCATTACCACAGCTCCCTTTTCCTGTCATTAAGTTAAGTTATTATGCTGTTTACAGTTGTAGCCATTTGATTTCACCCTTGATCATGTTATAATACAGTCCTCTCTCATTTGACAAAATAACTAATATCCTAGACAAATCACAGTGAACTGAGTAACTCTGTCCTCATAACCTTTGACCCACCAGTCACCTTTAACATGGGTGAGATGACTCCCAGCACTGCCGTTTAAACTGGAATTACAGACTTTATTTTTTGCCAATAGACACTTATTTTCCCCACACCTGCCTCAGTGTCTTTTCCACCTCTGCTACAGCCATGCTGGGATGACTTACTAGACCCTCTCTTTAGGATTCCGCCTTGCATCTGTGCCAGTAGTGAAACACATAAAAATTGCATGTAGCCTTGTTGTTCTCCTGCCTCGTACCTCTTTAGTTGTGAGCTCCTTGAGGCAGAGGTTGTCAGTAAACATTTGGGGTGATTTCACATTATAGTTCCACTGAAATAATTTTAGTTTATTTAATTTGTTTTAAATGCATCTTGAAAGAATGCTTACTCAAAATTTTAAGTGCTCCTGACATTAATTGAAATAAAATCCAAAGTAATAATGACTCAAAAACAATAGCATTTTTCTCCAGCCACACTCCCTGCACATATCCACACTATAACTAATTAAAATGCAAATAAGAAATGGGAAGCTGATATCCTTTAAGTCCTGGGAAGCAAAGTTGCTCGTGCCCTTCCCCACCACTTCTCTGAAGCCCCACTGAGGCAGCTAGGTTTGGCATGGGCCAGGCAGACCCGTAGATTGAAGCAGTTCAAGGTTAAATGAGAAAATTATTGCTGGAGTGAAGGTTTCCAAGCACACGCTCTGCTGAAAACCCTCTCTTTTTGAATCAGTTAGATTTTCCTTCAGACACCCTAGTAGCACATGGGATTCTCATTGGAGTGTGCCTGGAAGCATACTTCAACTCCTTAGAAGTTTTCATTTTCCTCATCTGAGGAAAAAAGAACAACAAAATCCCTCAGAAAACTAACCACTCCTTACAAAGATATTGGGGGGATTAATTAGTAGATCGATTTGATATTTAATGAGACTATTACTGGGCTGCAATATGAAGTGTTATCCAATTCGTTTTACCCCAGAACCTTATCATCTTATTGCTTGAGGGCACAGACACATAAACAGGAATTAAGTTAGTGACAGCTAACAAATGAGACCCTTCTTAAAAAGCTGCCATTGATGCTTTTTTTTTTTTTTTTTTTTTTTTTTCCTTCTGCCTGGTTTGCTCAGAAAAGAGAAACACTGTGATGGAAATCAAGCAAAGTATTAGTTTCCTTGGGCTGCACTTCTGGCAATCCAGCTATTGAGGAAGGAAGGTCAAGTTTGGAAAATTTTGTCACTAGTCTGTACATCATTGCCATCCAGCCAGGAGCAGCTGCATCGTTTTGCCTTCCCAGGTGCAATTAAGAGGAGATGCCAAATGTGATTATTGAAATCTAATAAGTTCATTTGTCTGTAGACTGACAACTTGTTGTTTAAATAAATTCTGTGTTTTTCTGCTGCCTCTTTCATTTGTGCTTGTGAAATAGTTCATTTTAATGTTCTAGATTTCTGTGCCAGTTCTTAATATCCAGTTCTTAATTGTCTTAGGAAACAACATGTATTAAAAACCACAGAAACAGGATAAGATTCAGGAAGGTAATCATCATTGAAGATGCTGATTTGTCCTACTCACAGACTGAGATAGTACTAATTATTATACCTGCAGTAATATTTTCAAACTGTGAGAGTTATTTCAGCATTTTCCTATGAGTGATTATATGAATTCTGTTGACTCAATATCTGTCTATCTGTCTTTTACACAAAAGTGCAATTGCCATTATCATGTGTTTTAAGAGCACAGGTCATACTAAGAACTTCTGTGAGCAGTGGGACCATGAAATTCATATATCAAGTGTTGTGATATCCCTACAAAGAAAACATAATCTAAATGCAAATTAACTTGCAACCTTATTGCTCTTTTATAAAATGAAAAAGTCTATTCAAGGCGAGCATTTGGTTTTTTAAAACAGCTATGAAAGGTACTTGAAATATGTAAGGGAATGAAGACTGGTGGAAAAAGCTGAGAACTAATAATTTTTAAAGCATGTCTCTAGAAACATATCATTTGATGAGGGAATCAAACTGTGAGCATATAGTCAAGAGAGATTTTTCTACTTTATTGTATCTCTTATTGCTTAGTGATCTCCCCATTTATTCCTCCTACCTGCTTTTGGGGTTCAAGTCCAATTGCACAGTGATACAGTCATGGAAAGGTTCAAAAGCTCAGCAGCCTCAAAACAGATCTTCCCTCAAAGGAATGCAAAGTGCAGCATCATCAGTATGCTCACTGATAAGTATTTCCAGGTGACAATGAGTGCTGAAGTCTTACCATGAATAACAAAGCAAATGACTTGAAGCTACTGTAGTCAATTTGTTAAAACTTGGTTTCAGATAAGTGTACAAAAGTTTGATGTCAACTTTCTCAAATCTTATAAACATCCCGTCTTACACTATTCAGGTATTTCTGTTTCCCAACAATACTGGGAAATCAGAAACCTCTTAGGCTTTATGAACTACAGATTAATTTATTTTTGCAAATCATGGAAATAAGAAACTCTAAATACACAGAAGTTTGATTTGCGTTATGAGTATGTGTTGTGGTTGTAGTATATGTATGACATAAAATGGACATCAGAAATGGGTTTCTTTCCCCAGGCCCTTCTAATTTTGCATGGTTACCTTTGTCCCGTGGCAACAGATAAGTAAGTGCTGAAAATGTCTCCCCTTTCATCTCTTTACATTTAATTAGACATAAATTAATCAGCTTATAAATAAAACCTTCATCCACAATATAATAAAAACAATCAAAAATCGAGATGAATAAAAGTGTAAGAGAGAAGTTAGAATATGCCTTGAACGTCACATGGGACATTTATTAGTCCCTGTACTCTAAACAGCTTTAATTACTAGAACACCTCTAAATCTCAGAACAGCATTTCCTTGATGGGCTTTTCAGTTGCTGAAATAGACCTTACCTGGAACCCATTTTGTGAGCCTAGGTGATTTCCATTCATAGTGAATAGATGGGTGATTATTGTTTTTAGCACCTGAGCAGGATCAAGTGTCATTCTGGATGTTCTCCCCACATGCAGATCCAGCATCCTTGACTGTGTCAGGATGACCTGAGGTGTCTCCTGTTCTGTGTCAGTCATGATATACGCCTTTGTGGTATTGAACAATTATCACCTTGGCAGAGGTCAGTATCTGCTAATTCAGCTTATTACTGTTTCACAGATTGATTCCTTCTCAGTCTAAATCATTTGATTCAGGCCTACGTTAAAATAACATCTCTCTCCTTATAGCCAAGAAAGCGTGAATAACAGAGAAGAAAATTGCTTACTGTAGCAAAAGTAGGCATAGTCACTCTGCTTAATGAAGCAGTAAACATAAATAATGGGATAAATTTACAAAAATAAAAAAAGAGAAGTAATGAGCTGAGTTTTAAACAATGAAATATTCTCTTCCA